GAAGAGGAAATGTCTTCCTCCCCTACGCCACCGAGACTCAGAGACTGCATGGCGCACAAAACCAAAGTACTTACTATCTGGCCCTTCAGAGAAAAAGTCTACTGACCCCTGAACCCTGTCATAACATGAGGATCTTCTCACGGGTGGTCCCTCTTTAAGCCTGGCGGGCCACCCTTTTCCCAGGCCTCTCTCACATTAGACACTTGCCCCTTTTGTTCAGATCTTTAATGCGTTCTCAGGGTACCTCATTTCCACTCTTGGATTTCATGTAAATTCAAAGCTCCATTTTCCTTTATCCTACAGAGCAATTCACCTGTCCTTCCTGGCTACATGAGGGAGTCCTAAAGCTTCCTGTTCAGGAGATCCTCAGGGCACTGTCAGAAACAAGAGCTCAAAAGCCCTGGAAAGACATTAGGCTGCTCCTGCAGAAAGCAGAATTAAAAACCCCACATTTTTTAGTAAATTTCCTTTTTTTCTGTCCTCTTTCCCATATCGATAACATTAATATGACCCCAGCAATTTTATATCTACACACATCAGAAATCCTAAATTCAACAGAGTACAGTGAAAGTGGCCACAGGAAAAGGTAAGGGGACAGGAGAGGCATTGTATAGTTAACCAACATACAGGCAATTCAGATTTTTCCAAGCAAACAAAAATATCTATAATGTCCTACTTTCTCCTAAAAAGAAATGAATTTGCAAAGCCCTATGTTGATTATCTGGCTTTTGCGCACTTTGCTTCTGTCAAACAGCTTGTTTTACATGACATTTATGGAAGCAAATGAAGTGTGTATTGCTTTTTAATAACTCAGAATTGCTAATTTACTTTTTGAAGGTTTAATGATCATCTAGCCTCATCCTTCTCAACTGGGCATTTGCATATGCCTGGGGATGTGTGGCTAGTTTACTAAGGGGATATAGAAGTCATGAGTGCAAATGGCATGGCTTCCTAGAAGAATATTTTGCCTAACGTTATTCCAATAGGTTGAAGGGAAAGCTGCATTATTTTTATATTAACGCAAATACATATAAGGGAACAGAAGGCAAAAAATGTAGGAGATTTCAAGAGAAAATCAGAGAAGACTGTGCTTCCAGGGATGCTTTAAATTCTGCCTCCAATGCTCTTGGGGTGATACATTTGTTTCTTCTTTTTAAATTAAGATTATGATAGTTAACAACCTTGTGAAATTTCAGTTGTACATTATTGTTAGTCATGTTGTAGGTACACCACTTCAGCCTTTGTGCCCTCCCTCCACCCCCCCTTTCCCCTGGTAACCACCAATCAGTTCTCTTTGTCTATGTGTTAAGTACCACCTATGAGTGGAGTCATACGGAGTTCGTCTTTCTCTGTCTGCCTTATTTCACTCAACATAATACCCTCAAGGTCCATCCATGTTGTGGTGAATGGGACGACTTTGTCCTTTTTTATGGCTGAGTAGTATTCCACTGTGTGTGTGTGTGTGTGTGTGTGTGTGTGTGTGTGTGTATATATATATACCATATCTTCTTTATCTAATCATCAGTTGCTGGGCACTTAGGTTGGTTCCATGTCTTGGCTATTGTGAATAATGCTGCGATGAACATAGGGGAGCATGGGACTTTGGGAATTGCTGATTTCAGGTTCTTAGGATAGATACCCAGTAGTGCAATGGCTGGGTCATAAGGTATTTCTATTTTTAACTTTTTGAGAAATCTCCATACTGTTTTCCATAGTGGCTGCAGCAGTTTGCATTCTCACCAACAGCGTATGAGGGTTCCTTTTTCTCCACAGCCTCTCCAACATTTGTCACTCTTGGTTTTGGATATTTTTGCCATTCTAACAGGTGTAAGGTGATACCTTAGTGTAGTTTTGATTTGCATTTCCCTGATGATTAGTGATGATGAGCATCTTTTCATGTGTCTATTGGCCATCTGTATATCTTCTTTGGAGAAATGTCTGTTCATGTCCCCTGCCCAGTTTTTGATCAGGTTGTTTGATTTTTTGTTGTTGAGCTGTGTGAGTTCTTTACATATTATGGAGATTAACCCTTTGTTGGGTAAATAACTTGTAAATATTTTTTCCCAATTAGTGGGTGTTTTTTTGTTTCAATCCTGTTTTTCCTTGCCTTGAAGAAGCTCTTTAGTCTGATGAAGTCCCATTTGTTTATTTTTTCTATTGTTTCCCTCATCTGAGGCGTTATGGTGTCCAAAAAGATTCTTTTGAAACTGATGTCAAAGAGTGTATTGCCTATATTCTCTTCTAGAAGACTTATTGTTTCAGGCCTAATCTTCAGGACTTTGATCCATTTTGAGTTTATTTTTGTGAATGGTGAAAAAGAATGGTCAATTTTCATTCTTTTACATGTGGCTGTCCAGTTTTCCCAGCACCATTTGTTGAAGAGACTTTTTTTCTCCATTGTAGGCCCTCAGCTCCTTTGTAGAAGATCAGCTGTCCATAAATGTGTGGTTTTAGTTCTGGACTTTCAATTCTGTTCCATTGATCTGTGTGCCTTTTTGTACCAGTACCATGCTGTTTTGATTACTGAAGCTTTGTAGTATGCTTTGAAGTCAGGGATTGTGATGCCTCTGGCTTTGTTCTTCTTTCTCAGGATTGCTTTAGCAATTCGGGGTCTTTTGTTGCCCCATATGAATTTTACGATTTGTTGTTCAATTTCTGTAAAGAATGTCTTTGGGATTCTGATTGGGATAGCATTGAAGCTGTAGATTGCTTTAGGTAGTATGGATATTTTAACTATGTTTATTCTTCCAGTCCATGTGCGTGGAATGTCTTTCCATCTCTTTTTGTCATCAATTTCTTTCAAGAAAGTCTTGTAGTTTTCGTTGTACAGATCTCTCACTTCCTTGGTTAATTTATCCCAAGGTATTTTATTCTTTTTGTTGCAATTGTGAATGGGATTGAGTACTTGAGTTCTTTTTCTGTTAGTTCATTGCTAGCGTATAGAAATGCTACTGATTTATGTATGTTGATTTTATACCCTGCAACTTTGCTGTAGCTGTTAATTGTTTCTAATAGTTTTCCTATGGTTTCTTTGGGGTTTTCTATATATAAGATCATGTCATCTGCAAACAGCAAGAGTTTTACTTCTTCGTTGCCTATTTGGATTCCTTTTATTTCTTTTTCCTGCTGAATTGCTCTGGCCAACACCTCCAGTACTATGTTGAATAAGAGTGGTGAAAGTGGGCACCCTTGTCTTGTTCCTGTTCTCAGAGGGACGGGTTTCAGTTTTTGTCCATTGAGTATGATGTTGGCATTTGTTTCTCTTTACTAGTGGGGTACCATGATGGAAGAGCTGTGCAAAACTGATTCACAGCCAGCCGTGCCGCCACCAAATATAAACAGACAAAATGACAGCAGGCTGTGAGAGCAATGCTTGTCTTTACAAAAGTTCATCTAAAAATATTCCATAAGAGTGTTTAAATATCACTGGATTTCACCTCATTCCTGCCAGGTTACCTGCCTAAAATACTTTGCCACATTTCTTCCAATCCTAGTTGCATTAACCCAGCTCAGAATTCACTCACCCAAGAAGCTCTCCCAAATAACTCCTGTTCAAATGGGTGTCTCTTTGGAACTCAAAGCACTTCCTATCTGTACTAGTTTTTAAATAAACCATTTTCCTTTAAGAGTAATATGTGCTCATTATTGAAAACAGAAAATACAGAAAAATATAAAGAATATTATAATTACCTGTAATAGCCTCCACCCAGTGCTTAGTATTCTTAAGCTTTGTGTATCACTTTACACTTGCAGGGTTGTACCTTCAGATTATAGGGTCTGGATGATATTAAATCCTGTTTATATTTCAACAAATGACAACCATCTCCTCTATCATTAAAAACTATATCTAAACGCATCCCATAATATTCATTTCATGTGTTGTTTTTTGCCTATTAACGTCATTGCATTCATTCACTGGCTCATTCATTCATTCTTCAAACACTGATTAGTCACTTATAATGTACTAAACATTGTGCTTCTGTGTTTTCTTTCCCATGCTAAATTAACTTATGAGTAATGACCCCTTAAGAATTTTTTTTTTAAAGGCATCAGAAAGAAGGTAACATTTGTGGGTTTTTTTTTTTTTTTGCTGGGAAAGATTCACCCTGAGTTAACATCTATTGCCAAGCTTCCCCCCCTTTTCTCCCTCTCCAAATCCCCAGTACATAGTTGTATATTCTAGTTCTTCTTACAACTTCTAGTTGTAAGTCCTTCTAGTTCTTCTACATGAGCCATGGCCATAGTACACCTACTGACAGATGAGTGGTGTGGTACTGCGACCTGGAACTGAACCTGGGCCACTAAAGAGGTGATAGCATGTAACTTTAACCACTAGGCCATCAGAGCTGGCTCCCCCTTCATAATTTTGCCAAATTTATGAGTACAGACTTCATCAAATAAGAAGTATACAGTAAATATTTGATAATAAATTCTTTTTTCTTAAGACTGGCACCTAAGCTAACTAACATCTGTTGCCAATCTTTTTTTTTCCTTCTTCTTCTTCTCCCCAGTGCACACCCCACATAGTTGTGTATCCTGGTTGTGAGTGCCTTTGGTTGCGCTATGTGGGACGCTGCCTCAGCATGGCCTGACAAGTGGTGCCATGTCGGTGCCCAGGATCCAAACCAGTGAAACCCTGGGCCACGGAAGCAGAGCACATAAACTTAACCACTTGGCCACAGGGCCAGCCCCTTTGATAATGAATTTATCAAAATTTTATGTATCCTCAACTTTTTGGAAACATTGAGATGCATCTCAAATCTTGTACATATTCTGTTGACCACCTTTTAACAAAAGGAGAAAGTTCTTAATGAATTTGTCTCAAATTTCTCTTCTAAGATTGGAATTTTGACCTTGGTAGACAAGGAATGACTTAGAATCTGTACCAAGCTTAAGACCTGTGTGCCCAGGCCAAGTACAGGGGCAGAGAGGGTGATACAAGTAAAGAGGCAGACCCCAGAAAGACAGTCGTGTGCTGAAGGACATGGCAAGGTTCAAATATGATGCAGGTAACAGATGATGTTGGGAAGTCCTGTGAGGTACAGAGTACAATGATGAGGATCACGTAGCAGTAACTACTGGGGGTGCCAGGTGAGCTGATGGCCTCATCAGGGTCTGTCCATTGGTGGAAGGACAGAGTCCCTGGCCTTAAGGAAGAAGGGAGGCTTCAGCATGGCCGAGGAAGTACTGGGATATCTTGGACTGTACAATCCTTCTTTCCGTCCTGACGGTGCTTAGGAGAGGAGGACATGCTCTCTGAAGCTGACCCTCCTCCAAACCACCAGCTCCTGTTTCCCTTCCCTGTCGCAACCACAGTTCAGAAAAGAGATTCAAGTAAATATTTTGTGTGTTACGAGGGACTTGTAGGTTTTCTGGAAGGAGGCTCTTTCACTTACTTCCTCAACTCAGAAAACACTTTTCCCTTGGCAAAAGAAGCAATGAGGAAAGGTCAAGTTACTCATTAATCTTTCTCATCAACGTTCCAATTTATGCCATACTTTCTCCGGCCCAACAAAGCAACCAGAATAGAGAGCAATAAACACTTCTTTTGAACTTGTAATTTATGTGTAATGCTAGCATGATTATCAGCATACAAATTCTGGGTATTTTAGTTGTCAATCGTGCTGTCTAAATTAAAATATCCTCTTATTTCAGTGTCCTTCCTTGACAGTGTACTACAAAGCTGGAGAACACCTCAAATTAAAATGTTGGTTGGAAAGGAGCTGATTCATTTCAACAAAAAAGATCTGAGATTCATAAAATCTTTGAAGTGACTTCACACAGATGCAAATAGGTGCACATGAAGATGCTGAAGCGCTCCCAGCATCTGGTGAAGCTCCCTCCTCCTAGTTTGGATTATTGTCACTCCTTCGCCCTCTTTCCTTGTGCTGAAAGTGTACACTATCTAGTCAGGGGAAAAGACTGCACTTAGGATACATAAACAGTCTCCACTACTTCAAGGAAGAAGGTGTTGCCTAGGATTTCTGTTTACAAGCTTGGGATTTTTTTCCCCTTATTTTAAAATATTTATAATATGGGATGTGCTCATTAAGGAGAATTTGGAAAATGCAGGAGGAAGATATGAAAAACAAATAAGTCGGATATAATTAGACTACCTAATGGTAACCACTGTTAATATTTTAATTCACTTTCTGCTAATCCTTCTTCATATATGTATCTTTATACACAGACATGTCTTTCTTTCTTAAATAGCTTCCTTTTCTTTTAGAGGGCAGAACCCACTCCTTTTAGACATTTTGAGTAAAATATATGCTATACCAGTTTTCAGTTTCTATAGGAGAAAAGTAATTTCTGTTTATTAAAAAGGCATTAATGATTATAGGGGAGAGTGGTCAAGAGAAATATCTGGAAAAAAATTAAGCTTTGGATATTTCCTAAGCTCTATTTCAAAAGCACTTTGTACTGTGCTCTGTATGAAAAAAATACTAAAATTTAAATGAAAGAATAATTTTATAATAAAAGTAACTAGCTTACTTTTGTATGGATTCAGAATACACCAACTTAACTAAGAAAGCATGACTTTTAAGAATTTATAAAATTAATAAACATACATTGACACTTTGTAAATAAAGGGCCCTACAGTCTTTAATGGGTCCACATCTTTATACATCAAAAATTTATTTGGTATAGTATTATGAGCCACGCTAATGATGGCTGGAAAATACCAGAATCTTTCTGGATATTTAACAACAGCTTTGTCTATGACTACTGCTAACTTCTGTGTAATCCTGGATTTTAATAGTTGCTTTTAGAGTGTATTCTGCCATCTTTACCTTGATAAAGAGTGAGCTGGATATCAACTTGACTTTCAATTTAAAATCATGCAAGATAGGAAAAGAACAGCATAAGCAAAGTCAACTGACAAAGTGGGAGAAGAAAATTCAACTTACATAACAGAGGAGAATTGGCTTATTTAGAGAGTTAAACATTTAAAGACCAACCTTCTTCCCACCGCCCCCAAAATGAGCTAAGGACATAGACTCAGGTCACCAAAAAAAGAATGACAAGAAGCCCACAAATATATGAAAAGATGCTCAATGGCTTTGCTTAGTTGAAACTTTAGCAAATGTCTTATTATTCCCTGGAGTTCTAAAGAAGTAACTGTGAAAGATGAGATCAGGGAAGCCATAGGAAAATAGAGCCAGAGCAGCCATTTCAAATGAGTTGCTTTGCATATCTTGTTTTCTTTATCTTCCGAACTGGACCAAACTGTCAACATTCCAAGAAGTCAGTAAAGACAAGAATATTTTGTTTATGAGGACTGATGAAGTTGAACTTTGCTGATGACCAAAGAGCTAACCAATCACTGAAGTACAAATCTAGCCTTTTGCCTGATGACTGAATCTCAAGCCTATCGATGAAGTACAAACCAGGCCTTATCCATATAGGATCAATGAACTCTTCTTTAATACAGCTTACCACATCTTTCTTTTTCCATAAAAACCCTTAGCCTGTCTCCAGTATTTGGAACACTTATTTGGGTTTCTACCTGAAACTGTGCTCCCCAAATTGTGATTATTTAATCCCTAAATGCCTGGGAATTGGCCCTTCTTAGAATTAAATTTCACCATCACAAGAAAAAATTGGGGGTCTTTTTTTCCAGAATTGAGTAGGTCACTGATCAATATGATTAACAAATATCTGATGCCTGTGACTTTTTAATTATAATAAGTCCATGAGGTTTTTTTTTCTATTACACCAGTTATCCATGGGAAATACTGTTTATGCTCACTATCTGTAAAATACCATCTTGCCTAACTTAACTTTCAGTCTTAGCAATTCTCTTAACTTCCAGCCTTAACATTTTTCATCCGAAAAGCAGGGGCTGGACTAATTGGTCTCCAAAGCTATTCCTAGTGCCAACCTTCTAACTTTGTTTTGTTTTGTTTTCCTTTTTGTACACTTAAGGGGGAGATGTAAGTTAGTTTAAGTCTGACATTTAAATGAAACTTTGTGTCTTCACCATCATAACGAGAAAGAAATAAAAGATTTTATCTTTGTAAATCTACTTATGGAAAATGGTTTGTAGTATATTTACTTTTTAAAGCCTTCAAAAGCTACAAGAAAATAAAATGTGTTCCTTCTGAGAAATGCCCTCCTTTCTGCACTTGATTGGTTTCAGAATCCTTGCTCGGGGTGTGGCATACCACACTAATGCTCTTTAACAGCTAAATACGAAGGTCAGTAGGCTGGCAGGTGCTTGCCAGGTGCAAACAGAGATGGCACAGCTCCCAGGGCCAACATCAAAAAAGGGGCTTAACTATCCTCTGTTTAGCCTTTCTCTTTCAGGTTTTCGCAAATACCTAATGTGTCATTCACCATGATGGCAGAAAGCCTTTTCTGAGAACCTTCACAGGCCCATTCATGCTGCTATCCCCACCTCTGACGGCATCAATATTCATTCCCACCAGATTACTTAACTGGTACTTGACCAGAAAATTCCAGACTGGTAGTTTAAGATGACATTTCTGGGAGAGGGTGAAATTGCAATGAGATCAGGCATTAAATCTAGGTTTGGTATCATGGGCTTTTGGCATGAGTGATGTCATTTTGGGCCTGTGGTTTTAACAACAGGTATTTAATATGCACCTACTACAGGCATAGCACAGTCTCCACATTCGAGATACAGCAAGAACACTCTATCTCTGCCTCATGGAGCTTGTCTAGAAACATAAGGAACAAGGCTCAGGACCTTTCAAATGGAGCCTCAGTTGGGTCAAATCAAAATAAGTTAAAGAGATTGATGCAAAAGTCTTCAATTATATTAAGAACGGCTTGATGAACCCCAGATAGAAAAATTTCACAGACTGAAAGTTCCATCCCACAACTAGAAGGACCTGCAATTAAGATATACAGCTATGTACGGGGGGGCGGAGGGGGGGGGGGTTTGGGGAGATAAAGCAGAAAAAAAAAAAAAGAGAAGATTGGCAACACTTGTTAGCTCAGGTGTCGATCTTTGAAAAAAAAAAAAGAAAGTTCCAGTAAAACTCTAATCCTCAAATCTAATTTAGCACCTGTAACTAGGAAATCTAACACTAGCCATATTTTTCCCCTATTTTTTAAAATTTTCTCATGAGAAAAAAAAGCTTCAAGTCTAGAAATAGATGATAAAATTTTTTTCTCTTTATTGGGATATAATTAACACAGCATTGTGTATCGATGGTAGCAGAGAACATAATTAGATTCTCTGTTCTCACAAATAAGTGCCAACATGGAGCCTCAGAACTTTTGTTATATCACTCTTTTACAACTGTAAGAATCAACAGGAATGAGAATCCCCTCTCCCTGAGTCTCCTTAATTATGCCTCTTTCAATTAAGTGTCATCATGCAGTGTCTGGCTTTTATAATCCAAGATACTAAGGTGTCTACTTTATATCTCACATCCACAGTTTGTGTCTATGTGCTCTACCAAGAATTCAAACACTGCGTTGGTCTGGGAAGAAGAGGAAATTCCATGGTTTTTTGAACCCAGAAAGTCTTTAGTACATCTCAGATATAGAACTGTTTAAATATACATAACATTTTATAATTCCAGAAGAGGCTTTTGAGGTTTATACGGAGAGCTTGCATTTCCTCACCATCTTCTCATACCTTAACCCTGTGCCATACAGGCTCTATCCCCACCATTCTATGAACTAAATAGCAACAAAATAGTTGATAAATAGGTTAGATTTTTAAATTTTTTTTATTTAGCTGATTCCAAACGTAACATAGTGTCAAAATAGAAAACTGAAGAGCACAAAGAAAATGAAATACCCATGATCCTATCAACTATGGTTAATTTTGGTATATTCACAATTAATCTTTTTGTATCAATGTACTACTTTTAATAAAAGGAATGTCAAAAGGCACTCTGATTTGGAGTCTGCCTTTCCCTCTTACGAATATATCATAGTTTCTCACACTGATATATTTTTACACTGCTGGCTGCAGACAATTTGATCCCATAAAGCCACCTATCAAAAATTCCTTCTATGTTTGCTAGACACTTAAGAGTTTACATTTTTTCCTAAATTATATGTCTTTGCTCATAGCTGTGATCATTTCTTTGGGATAAACTCTAAACGGAATCGGTGGTTTAAAAGTCATGTCCCTTTTAAAAGTATTAACATATGGAAAAGTTGTGTTAAAAATTAAAAGTTTGAGGGTGCTGGGCTCCCAATATGTTTACTCACATTGGTTGACGTTTTCATTCTGTCAACTAACAGGAAGAAAATGTCAGCTTCTCTTGTCTGCTGTTTTAATACCAGTTATGTTACCTTTTTTTTTTCCCCTACTTTTGTGGTCATACAGGCTTACTCACAACTCTACAAATAAATCTTGCTCATTCTTAATTTTCCAGCACTGAGAGATTGTTTCCCAGAAACTTCTCCCTGTTATCAATTCCTACCCATCTCAGTAATAATAGCATTCATTGCTGCCAGGAATTTGGACATCATACACCCTTGTCCTTACCTTTTTCATGCACGTATATTTCCACTTCAAAAAACACTGAGTTGCTCAAGGGCAAGGGCCCCACAGAACTGAGGCCCAGCGTCTAAGGGCCCCGTGTCCCTTAATAATTGACCTTCCCAGGCGTGCTCTCAAGGCAGCGGGGGAGAGTAATTCACGATAGGGGTTGCGAGTGCAGAGGCCGAGTCTTCATGGTTTTGAACTCTAGCAGGCCTGCACGGGATGCAGTAGCAGAGGCTCAACCAAGGCTCTCAGGTATTGTCCCTAATTGTGCCTGACTGATGCTGAATACTGAGGGCCCAGGTAGTCCTGAAGCCCGGAGCGCCCCAGGACAACTGAAGCCCGGAGGCGGCTGGTCCCACGGTGACCCGCTGCCTGGGCTCCCGGTTTCTATTTTCAGGTCGAGGCGCTTTATTCTTCGACCCAGCGATCCGGAAAAGGAACACTAACGATCCGCCAGCTCGTTTCCTTTCCGCCCTTCCTGCGTGGGGTGTTAACCGCGTACGAATGCGGCGGTGACCCAGCGGTTTCCCGCAAGCCTCCTCGGGGCTCCCGGGCAGGTCTGCAGAGGGTGCGGCCAGAGAGCGGTCAGGCTCACGCGGGAGGAGCCGGAGCCGCCCGCCAACTCGGATCCTTTAGGTCACAGCCCGGTTCCGCGGCGTCCTCTCCAGGCCTAACGCGCATTCCCCGCTCCGAGGCCCCGCCCTGCAGCCCCCGCCCCCCTCATTGGCCCCGCCCGGCCTCGGTACAGCGGCTCACTTCCGACTCCGGCGAGATACAGGCCACGCCCAAGGGCCGTACCGCACAAGACCCTTTGGTAGTGTGGGGATTGTTGCGTCCGGTGACCAAGCTGAGAAAGTGCCGCTCGCCCGGCTATCGGGAATCCGGGGGATCTCCCCGAAAATGACGGCGTCTTGCGCGCGGCGCGGGGCACCTCTCTGTCGCCCCGAGAGCCACTTCTCTTCTTGGTGCTCCGTTGGGATCCTTTTAGGGGCCCTAGTGCTCCCGCTACCAGTATCCCCGTCCGGTAGGAGCCTGGAGAGGGCGTGCGCTCCAGCGCGAACGGGAGCGGGTCGGGGGCAGGCCGACCGGAGCCGAGGGCGGGGGAACTTCGCTCGTTGGGTCGTGCAGGTGGCGCGGGGCTGAGTCGACCCGGGTCGTGCGGAGTGGGTAGTGCGTGGCCAGCCTTCCCCCCGGGTGGCGCTGAGCAGGGATCCCGGCGGTGAGGACCACGAAGCGCAGGAGGTGAAGGCTTGGTGGTCGGCACCGAGCGGTGCGGCGGGGTGGGTGAGCCGGTGTTGACCGGGCCAGGCTGTGTCCCTAGCGAAAGCTTGCAGGCTGTTACCGGCACTGAGCCAAGTCGGGATGGGAGCGCAGACGCGGTGCTTGCGGTGAGGGCTTGCTCTTGAGTGCCTAGGTGCGTGGGGGAGTTGCTGGGACTCGTGCTGTGCCGGTGGGGAGGGTTTGCCCTGCTTCCCTGGGCCGGATGGTGCCGTGTTGAGAGGGGTATTTGTGCCCCGCCTGGCTGGGCTGGGGAAGCCGCGGGCGGTGTTGTCGGGTGTGTGTTCCACGGAAGTGGCCAGCCCAGCGGTGCGTGTGGAGCGAGGAGGCCCGCTGCTCGCTTCGTCAGGGGGCTGGGAAGCGCGTGGTGTGCCTGTAGTGCTGGGGTGAGAGCAGGCTCTGGGTGCCTGGGGTTCCGAGGGTTTGGGAGGGGCGCGCCACGCTTTTGTACCTGACGTTCTCAGGCTCCTTCTTGCCCAAGATCATATTCGTATCGGTTGGCAACCTATTGCTTCTTATTCTTTTTTTTTTTTTTTTGTCATGTAATTATCTTCCTGTTCCCATGTAGCACAGACAGTATCCAGTTCCGTTACCGAATGGCTTTTTGGCATTGTTTCCTTCTTTTCATTGGGTCGGATCATATTTGAGGGGACATCCGAAGTCACCTAAAACACATTGGTAGCCAAACTTAGTGAGAAACGGTTATCCTAAGAAATGAACGATAAATAATGTGAATCTGGCTTTCCTCTACAGCTCAAAAACTATGGCTTAAGGCCCATCTGCTACATTTGTTTCATGTTTCATTGACTGGAAATAAGTACTTTAAAAATATATGTGGTAAAAAAGTCAAGTTATATAAAACATGCACAAAGGACAAACATTTTAAATACTTTGGTATATTTCCTCTGTCTTCATATACACGTGTGTTCCTTTGCCCAAGTTATTTTCAGGATCCTGTAACATATACCGTTTGTATGCTGCATTCTTTCCTTAGCAACGTTCATTCCACAAAGATTTGCCTTCCCTGTGCCAGGTCCTGTGCTGGTCCTGAGGGTACCCTGCTCAGCAATAACAAACCATTCCTGTTTTCATGATCTTTCTTTGTCTGTTTGCACACACACCCGAATATAAGCAGAGGCTGTATTTGCTGACTGTTAGATCCCCAGTGCCAAGCACACACTAGATAGTCGAGAAATATTTGCTAAAATTTATTGAGAGACAGTGAAAAAACATAATACTAATGAATACATTATAACCCAAGAGAAGCGCTCTGGAGGAAAGGAGCCTGAGACTCTGACAGCATTTAGCAAATGAGTGGAGGCGGGGAAGACTTTTCTGCTCATCAGACAGGCCAATTCTGCCACTTGGGGCTTCTGCACTTGCTATTCCCAAAGCCTTGGAAAATGGTCCTCCTGCCTCTTGCATACTGGTCTCCTTCTTATTCTTCAAACTCAGCTGAGATGTCACCCTCCACCCGCCACCCCAGAACTTCTTCGCCCACCCTGTCTCAGGTAGACAGACACACACTCTCCATCTCAAATCCCCCTTGACCTGTAGTCACTCTTCCCATACTCTCTTCTCTTTTCTCCCCGCTAGAATGCAGAGATCTTGTCTCTCTTGTCACACTTGTTCCAAATGCCCGTTGTGGTTTTTTTGGCCTCGATATCAATACTCTTGTATTACTATTAAATTCCAGAAAATTAAACATACTATTCAGCTGGAGCTTAGAGCTCAGGAAAAAAATGCCTCGGGAGGAAGGTTCTTTAAAGCACCATTCTTATGATAGCGTTTCTGTGGTGCCTAAAACGCTAAGGCAGGACAGCTGAGGGTCCGGGAGGCTGTGTCTTCCTGTTTGTAGACTCTCCAGGGTCACAGGATTGCAGTCTTCCTTGTTACAGATCATTAACAAGTTCATTTCTGTTGGGGGGGGGGGGGGGGGGGCGGGGAACAGTGGTAGTAAAAAGAAAACAAAAGGAACTTTTAAAGAAAGAATACTGCTTAGAATAGGCTTAAAGGTAGAATATAAAGGACACTTAGAAAGCTATTTAAAATAGAGGAAAATAGATCACTAAAATGAATAGGATGTCTCTGGAAGGTAACAAAACTAGAAATGAAGAGGAGGAAAAGCAAGGTTAAGGTTAAGGTGGAAAGGTAAAATCAGGAAAGGTATGAAACTTAGAGAAAGTAAAAATGAGAACTTACTATGCTGGGAACGGAAAAATGTGAATAAAATAAACATTTCACTTTTGAAGCAGCTCCTGAGGAGAAGGTTTTGTGAGCAGACACTGTTGTGCCTGGGGGGTTTGTCATCTCAGAGGTGGTTGCCAAATGGTACGAGGTCCCAGAAGGGAACATTTGTCGAATTTTGGGACCAGTCTCATTCCTCCAGAAGGAGTCTGCTTTTTCCGGACAAAACCCACAATGTCCTTTAATGGGTGGTCTCTTCTGCCTATTTTAGGTCTTTTCTTTCTTTCTAGAAGAAAAGCCAATATCACTAAGTGCTTACACCCTAGTTACTTAGTGGTCTTATTCTGCATATTGCAATGCAAAGACAGCAGTCCTTGTCTGGTCAGTTGCTAGGTTACCAGAATCCTGGGAGATAGGCAACAAAAGAAATTATGTGGCCAGCTCTCTCTCCAGTGCATAAAGCTTTAAGATGATTATCTTCTTGTCTAGAAGACAAGCGTTGAGCAGGACTTGCTGCTGAGCAGGCAGGAAGGGTCTTCCCAGCAGAGGGAGCAGTGTGAACAATGGCTCAGAGATGTGACCTGGCTCGGGGATTCATGGACTGCCGAGCTACCCAGTGAGGCAGCAGTAGGGCAAAGGAGGCGAGAGCAAGGAGAGGACTAGATCATAGAGTGAAAAATTGTGAAAAGCAACAGGGTAGTCAGGAATGAATAGTCACCATCATAAAATTCAGACTCTATGTTGTTACCTGTCCTTTTAGGGCACCTTGAGCCGTTCTGTTTGACTTGGCACAACACAGATCTACATTAGGGTTGCTCTAATTTCCCCAGGCTCAGTAGAAGACTGTTTCTTGGGGACTAACTTGCAGACACAGTGTGTTGGTGTAAGCACGCGAGGGTTCCAGATGAGAGACCGTGATGGGAAGCGGTGGTCGTAGTGGAACCAGGCTGCCTGGCTTCACTCCTGGGTCTTTCTGCCTACTGGGAATGTTTTTTGGGCAAAGTACTTCACCTTACTATGCCTCAGTTTGCTCATCTTAAGGAGGGGCAAATAGTACCTGTGGAACTATTATGGAAAAGTAATCTCAACTCATAGGATGATCATGAAGATTAAGTTAGTTTAAAAGCACTTAAAATGATGTTTGGCACAAGTAGTGCTTACATTTGCTATTTCCAAAATTATTGCTATCATCACTGTTGTCAGAACGAACTACTGGAATCTTTCATTACCATACTTTAGGAAAAACTATAACCCACAATATTTAGAGTTGAGCTTTGATAATGTTAAAATGCCGTTTCATATAATAAAGTATGGGTTCATAAAAAATAATAAAGCATAAATATTTTGACATGAAAGAAATTTAAAACTGTGATAAAGGGATTTGTCTATCACTAAACCAATGAAATAAAATTGAAGATAGGTGTGAATAGAGCAAAGAAAAAAATTATGATTTGCAGATACCTCTGGAAGAGGTTGGCTGAACAGTAAAGATTTGAATTTGGATGTAAGAGTGTGTAGAAGTGATTGATGGCAGTGCTCATTCAGCTCTCGTGCTGGGTCCTAGAAGAGTCCTGATGAATGAGACGTGGTCCTCATGGTGACAGTCTTGGAAGGAGTATAAACACTAAGGAATCGGCATATGAAAAGTGCTATGGAAGAAGCAAATTGGGGCAGCAGGAGGACACTTAACCCGGTTTTCTGATTGAGAGATGTCAAGAGCTTCAAGGGAGAAGTGGCATCTAAGATGAAACTGAAGGATCAGTGGGTGGGAGGAGTGGCAGGGTCTCTGGTCAAAATGATGCATGGAACCTACAGTGCTAATGTAATTTAACAGTTTAATGGGCACTGCATAGAATTGAATATGGCTTGAGAATAGTGTGCAAGAGTGAACAGCGTCCTGATAGTGACAGATTTTAAAAGTCTGTTAGCCATGTGAAGGGGCTTAGACATTATCTTGAGAGCATTGGGGAGCCATTGACAGGCATCTGACGTGGAAGAGCACTGGTCACTCTGTCATATCAATATTCTTCTAGTTGCACTGTGAGGAATTGCTAAAGTAGAAAAGACATTATTCTAAGGAGAACTCGTCTCCTCCCAAAAATACCCAGAAGTAAAAACTTTATCTAAAAGCATAGCAATATAGTAGCTTTACTGTAGTAGGGATCTGTTGGATGAAGAGCTCGAACAGCTACCTCAGGGATCTTCTGGGGGACTGCATGATCCATTGATCAGCAAAGGAAGAGCAAATTATATAAAATAATGTCCAAGAAAGCAAAGTTTTTTTCATGTAAGGCTACTGAAAGTAGTTCATTTTGATATTTAAGTGGCATCTATTCACTTACAAAATGCTCAGTTCACTGTTATGAAAACTATGAAATGATGTCTTTTATTTTGAAGTAGTTCAGTCCGTCTTTATTTTGATCTGTGGAATCCACGATGCTTATTTAATCACCGCCTCTTACTGTAGCATTTCTTGAGCACCCGCTGGGTAGAGAGTGTAGCAGAAAAAGAAGGCATGTGATCCCTGACCTCCAGGAACTCGCCTTCCGAGAGGAGACTGAGCGTGCAGTGACAAGTGATCATGAGTTTGTGCTTCAACCTGTGAGGGTTGTCTCAGTAGAGTGGTATATTCTATAGAGACTTCTTCAAGGAGAGGTGAGTTTTGGAATGAATTTAGAAAAAAGTGGGGAAGGATGCATACCTATAAATATATTTTTAAAACTGAAAACAATGGGGGCTGGCCTGGTGGTGCAGCGGTTAAGTGCACATGTTCCGCTTTGGTGGTCCGGAGTTCGACGGTTTGGATCCCAGATGTGGACTTGGCACCACTTGGCAGGCTGTGCTGTGGTAGGCATCCCACATAGAAAGTAGAGGAAGATGGGCACGGATATTAGCTCAGGGCCAGTCTTCCTCAGCAAAAAGAGGAGGATTGGCTGCAGATGTTAGTGCAGGGCTAATCTTCCTAAAAAGAACAAAAAACGAAAAACAACACACCTATGTACCAGGGATCTTTGGGAGAAAAAGGAAAAATAAAATCTTTAAAAAAAAATCAAAACCCAAAACATTGATATTGTCTCTTCAATTTACTGTTGATTGAAAGTTCACCTCATTCCCCAACAAACCAAAAGCTAACAGGATGTTATTTAAAATGACCAAGACACATTGTCCACAGCTACCACCAGCTGGGGAAAAGCATGGACAGTCATTTAACATCTTGCCAAGAAACTTTCCTTTATTCTGTACTACTTACCTGCTGCCAGGCCACAGGCCCTGTCTGACGAACGAGGTAAAATGCTTTATTTTCATGCTCTTACTCTCTTTTTTCTAGATGCCTGTGGTGATCCACCAAGATACCAATCTATGAAGCTGAAGGGTGTTGCTCAACCCCCTTATAGCCCTGGGGCCACAATAGAATACGAGTGTCGTCTAGGGTACAAGCTCAAGAGACCTCCTCTTCCCACCTCTGCCATCTGTCAGGCTAATAACACATGGACACCTCTCCAGGAGGCTTGTACAAGTAAGTCAACAAAACATTTTTGGTTTTTTTTTAATTGCTCTGGAGATATTCACACATTGTACGGCACATGTTCCACTACTGAGATGATGGTTGTCTCATGTGAATGTAGGTTTTAGATAGCAAGGTATTTTTTAGGGCTTTGAAAATCTCTAGGGAATCTTTTTGTTGGCAGCTGGTTGCCTAGGTAAATGTGAGTCTTTTTTTTTTTTCTTTTTTGTTTTAATTTTTTTTTTTTACGATTTTATTTTTTTTGTTTTTCTCCCCAAAGCTCCCTGGTACATAGTTGTATATTCTTAGTCGTGGGTCCTTCTAGTTGTGGCATGTGGGACACTGCCTCAGCATGATTTCATGAGCAGTGCCATGTCCGCGCCCAGGATTCGAACTGACGAAACACTGGGCCGCCTGCAGCAGAGCGCGTGAACTTAACCACTCGGCCACGGGGCCAGCTCCAATGTGAGTCTTAAGTTTGGCTTTACCATAGTTAAAGAAAGTAAATAATATTCCCAAAAAGTCCAAAGAACAATGTAGAGTTTTGATTTCGATGCACATCTGTTTTGAAATTCGTATAAAACAATAAATTTTAAAATTGTCTTTTAGGAAAATTATGTCCACATCCAGTAGAGCCGGTAAATGGCGCAGTGCAACATGTAAATGAGACTTTGGAGTTTGGTTCACAGGTTCACTATGTTTGTAATGAGGGGTAAGTTACTCCTTAGAGGAAATAAGGTAAAACTTATGAATTCCATTTTTGTCCTCTCTTCTTAAGCGTGCCAATAAAGTTGATTCCATTTTGCTTTGTATGTGACAAGTTGCACCTGTGGCCAAACAACTCTTGGGCTTTAATGGAGGCTGCAAAGATGTGTAATTAATAGGAAGAAATTTAAATTGAAGGAAAGCAAAATTGAATACTTCTATTATACTAAGAAGCCTATCCCAACAGAGTGCACCCTATTTAAAACGGCCAGCTCTCAGAGTTGAAGTAGGGCTTCTGGAAATGGGAGGTAGAATTGCCATCCAAAGAGACTCTTACACTGACTGAGGTAACGCTGGAAGGGGCCAGCAGACCAATATTGACCCGGTCAGCCTGGACCATCATGTTGATCAAGGTGTCTTAGTTGGAAAACCTTATCTTTGAGACTGCTGCGAAGGAATGAAGCATCTCAAACAGAGGTCCTGAGCACTTCATAATAGCCTTTGTTCTATGGGGCTCTTTTAATAGTATGTATTGGGAATACTGGGCATCTGTGAAACATGTGCATTTAGAGGGTAAATGTAATACACTGTAGAAATGCAACTGATTTTTTAATACCAACTTTGTATCACACTACTTTGCTGAATTGATTTATTCTAATATTTTTGTGTTAGTGGGTGCATGTAATCTTTAGAGTTTTCTACATCTGAGAACCTATCATCTGCAAACAATGATAATTTTACTGCTTCCTTTCCCATTTGGTTGCCTTTTATTTATTTTTTCTTTCCAGACAGCTTTGTCTAGAACTTGCAGTACTATGTTGACTAGGAATGGTCAAAGCAGGCATCCTTGCCTTGTTCCTCATCTTAGAGGAAAAGATTTCAGCTTTTCACCATTGAATAGGATGTTTGTTGTGGGTTTTTCATGGATGGCATTTATTATCTTGAAGTAGGTTCCTTCTGTTCCTCATTTGTTGAGTATTTTTATTGTGACAGGATATTGAATCTTGTCAAATGCTTTTTTTGCAGCAATTGAGGTAATCATATGGGTGTTTTTCCCTCTATTTTGTTGATGTGGCGTTAATTGAATGATTTTCATATGTTGAGGATGCTTCCATTCCAGGAATAACTCCCACCTGCTCATGGTGTATAATCCTTTTAATATGCTGCAAGATTGTTTGCTAGTATTTTGTTGAGGATTTTTACCTTAATGTTCATTAGGGATATTGGTCTGTAGCTTTCTTTTCTTGTAGTGTCTTTGTCTATCTTTGGTATCATTGTAATGCTGGTCTTATAGAATGAGTTTTGAAGAATTCCCTCCTTGGAATTTTTGGAAAAATTTGGCAAGGATTGGTATTAGTTTTTCTTTACATGTATGGGAAAATTCAGCGGTGTAACTGTGAAGTCCAGGGCTTTTCTTTATTGGGAGATTTTTGATTACTGATTCAATCCCCTTAATAGTTATAGGTGTGTTCAGATTATCTATTTCTTTGAGATTTGTTCCTGATAGGTTTTGTGTTTTTAAGAATTTGTCCATTTTATCTAGGTTATCTAATTTGTTGGCATAAAATTTGTCATAGTACTCTCATAATATTTTTTATTTCTGTAGAATCAGTAGTAAAGTGCCCACGTAAATTCTGATGTCAGTCATTTCTCTCTATTTTCTTAGTCCATCTACCTACAGGCTTGTCAGTTTGGTTGAACTTTTCATAGAACCAACTTTTGCTTTCCTTGATTTTCTCTAATATTTTTTATTCTCTGTTTTGTTCATCTCAGCTGTATTCTTTATTATATGCTTGTTTGTCTAGCTTTCGGTTTGGTTCTTCTTTTTCCAGTTCCTCAAGTTGTACAGTTAGGTTGTTGACTTCAAATCTGTCAACTTCTTCTTCTTTTTTTTTTTGATGTAGGTGAGCTCTGGGCTAACATCTCCTGCCAATCCTCCTGTTTTTGAGGAAGACTGGCCCTGAGCTAACATCCATGCCTGTCTTACAGTACTTTTTTTTTTTCATGTGGGATGCCAGCCATAGCATGGCTTCCTAAGCAGTGTCATGCCCGCACCTGGGATCTGAACTTGTGAACCCCGGGCCGCTAAAGCAGAACATGTCAACTTAACTACTGCGCCACTAGCCTGGCCCCTTCAAATCTCTCAATTTTTTAATGTAATCATTTTTAGCTATACATTTCCCCCTTGGCACTGCTTTTGCTGCATCCCGTAAGTTTTTCTATGTTATTTTTTCATTTTCATTTTTCTCAAAGTATTTTCTAATTTTCCTTGTGACTTCTTCTTGGATCCAGTGGTCGTTTAAAAGTGTGTTATTTTCCAAGATTTTGTCAATTTTCCAGTTTTCTTTTTCACATTAATTCCTGACTTCATTCCATTGTAGTTAGAGAAGCTACTTTGTACAACATCTATATTTTTAAATCTATTGATTAACAATATTAATTTGTAGCCTACGTAATTATGTTATTAGTATTATTTATCATGTAATTAATTGTATTATTAATAAGATTAATTTGTTTTATTAATTTGTGGCCTAACATATGGTCTATCTAGGACAATGTCACATGTGCACTTGACAAGACTGTATATTCTTGTGTTGGGTTGACTGCACTATATGTGTCTGTGACATCTAGTTGGTTTATCGTGTTGTTCAAGTCCTCCGTTTCCTCACATAGCTTCTGTCTCATGGTTCTATTCCTTCCTGTGAATGGGGTGTTGAAGTCTCCAACGACTCTTGTAGAAATGCCTCTTTTAAATAGAAAAGTGTATTTATCCCTTCAATTCTGTCACTTCTTGCTTCATGTATTTTGATAGGCTGTCCTTAGGTGCATAAATGTTTATAATTGTTATATCTTCTTGCAGTTTTGAACCCTTCTTAATATATAAGGTCACTTTTTGTCTCTTGTAGCCTTTTTTGATTTAGAGTCCATTTTGTCTGATTTCAGTATAGCCACCTCTGCTTTCTCTGGTTACTCTCTTCACAGAATAGCTGTTTCCATCCTTTCCTTTACAACTTGTTTTTGTCTTTGGATCCCAAGTGAGTCTTTTCTAGACTGCGTATAGCTGAGTCATGTGTTTTTTTACCCGTTCTGCCAAGCTCTGTCTTTTGATTGGAGAGTTCAGTCCATTTACATTCAATGTCATGGCTGACAAAGAGGGACTGACTTCTGTCATTGTGCTATTTCTTTTTTATGTGCCTTATGGCTTTTTTTGTCCCTCATTTCCTGTCACACTGCTTTCTTTTGTGTTTAGTTGATTTTTCTAGTGAACTGTTTAAATTCTTTTCTCATCTCCTTTTGTGTGTATTCTGTGTCTGTTGTCTTGGTGGTTACCATGAGGATTGCATTTCACATCCTGTAGTTATAAGCCTCCAATTTGAGTTTATACCAACTTAACTTCAATAAATTCTAAGAACTGCTCCTCTACAGATCCGTCCCCACCCATTTTGGATTTTGATGTGATACTAGCCTCTACACCTAAAAATTTTAATAGTGGCTTCTACACTAGTAATCTCTTTATTTTCTTTACAAATATTAGTCTCTTAAATCAGATAGAAGACAAAAATTGCAGTTACAGATCATGGTCACAATCATACTAGCTTTCCTACTTGCCCATATATTTACCATCAGCGAGATCTTTATTTATCCAAATGGCTTAGAGCTACTGTTGAGTCCGTTCGTTTCACCGTGCAGGACTCCCTTGAGCATGTATTGCAGGTGAGGGCTAGTGCTCATGAACTCCCTCAGCTTTTGTGTATCTGGGAATACCTTCATTTCTCCTTTACTTTGAAGGACACTTTTGCTGGATAGAGGACTTTGGGTGACACTTTCTTTCTTTTAGCTCTTTAGGTATATTGGTCAACTGTCTTATGGGTTCTGAGTTTCTGAGGAGAAGCCTTCAGATGATGTTATTGAAAATCCCTTGGATGTGATGATTCACTTTTTGGTTGCAGCTTTCAAGATTCTCTTTGTCTTTGAATTCGAAAAGTTTGCTTGTTCTAGGGCCTAGTTTGGGTCTCTTTGAGTTCATCTTACTTGGAGTTTGTTGAGCTTTTTGGATATTTGTCTTCATGTCTTTCAGCAAAGTTTCGGAGTTGTCAGCCATTATTTCGTCAACTGTTCTCTCTGCCCCTTTCTTTCTATTTTCTCCTCCTGAGCATCCCATAGTGTTTATGTTGATGTGCATGTTGTTGTCCTACATGTTCCTTGTGCTCTCTTTACTTTTCTTCAGTCCTTTTTCTTCCTCAAACGCAATAATTTCCATTCTCCTATCTGCAAGTTCAACAATTCCTTCTTCTCCTTCCTGAAATCTGGCTTTAATTCCTATCGTGAACTTTTGTTTTCAGTAATTGTACTTTTCAACTCCAGAATTTACTTTCGGTTTCCTTTAGGTTTTCTGTCTCCTAATGATATGTCCATTTTGTTCACACATTGTTTTCTTGACTCTCTCCATTTTTCTGTTGGTTCTTTGAGCAGCTTTCAGACAGTTTTTCTCTTTTCTCTCAGGTTTTACTGAGGCCCCAGGGCCGTGGGGCTGAAATCAAGAGGCCATCCTGCATGCAAAGCAGAAGCCTATGGAAAGGCCTTATTTGACCTTCTTTCTGAGGCACGGGTTGTTGTCGTGGCCGTACTTATTGTGACAGTGGACAGCACAGGGGTATAGGCGAGCATAATACTTGCAGATCATTGTGTAGCAGTTGTATTTCTGGGTGAGCTGGCAGAGGGAAGGCTTGATGATGTCCCCCCACTGGTCAAGCACCAGGTACACTGTGGACTCTGAATATTGTAGTCTTTGAGACCGTGCCTGTCCTTTAGCTGTTTGCCTGTGAAAATCAGATACTGTTGGTGAGTTAGGATGCCCTTCTTGTCTTGGATTTTGGAATTGACATTCTCACTGGTGCGTCACTGGGCTTGACCTCAAGAGCAATGGTCTTGCCTGTGAGGTTTTCCTAAAGATGTGCCTCTCTGTATCTGCTGCTCACACGCTCATTGAAGAAAAAGAAAGTGTGGTAGTGGAAACCACCAATGTCACACCAAGAGCACATGCACAAGACAGTTACTTTAAAGTCTTTGTTTAGTAAATACACCAGGAGGTCTTTTCAGGGACAGTTTCTGTTGATTTATTTTTTCCTGTGAATGAGCCATACTTCCTGTTCCTTTGTATGCCTTGTGATTTTTTTGTTGAACTGGACATTTGAAGCTAATAATGTAGTCAGTCTGGAAATCAGATTATCCCCCTTTCCTAAAGCTCAATGTTTTATGTTATTGCTGTTTGGGTTATTTTTTTTATTGTTGTGGGGTGTCTCTGTGCTGCGTATCAGCCTGATGTGTGATGCTCTTCTCAGGTCTTTTTTGATCCTTTCTCTGGTTGTGTGTACTCACTTTCTAATTTTCCCCACGTATGCAGTTGTTTTTGAATGTTCTCATTTTTAATGCTTGGCTTCTGAAGGGGGAAAAAGTGAAAAATGAAGGGGACAGCAAAGGGCACTGGATCTTTAAATCCCTTGAAAGTCACTTCAGCCAACATGGAAGGAGCTTACAAAAGTGTGGGTAGATGTTACAGCAATGGCTCCTCTCTTCTTTGTCTGTCCAAGCTCCAATAACAAGTCGCTCGTGGAGCTGGGACTGGCATCCAGGCAGCAAGCTCCAGGGCCTGTTCTCTCTCCTCAGTCACTGTCCTTCCTGAGCAGAATGGCATAAGTGAGGACGTAGAAATGCACGTGTAATGTGATTGCCAGAGGTAGCAAAGAGGCCAGACCGACAGGTATGAAAGATTTATTTAGACATTTTCCTCCTGGCCAGTGCATGTTGAAATGCAGAAACTCTTTAGTTAAATTGCAGATTTTATTAGCAGTTTGTTATTTTAGAAAGTTTTTCTCAAACTGCGGTAGTGCAGAAAAACAGCCATAAAAACATTTTCTTAATTACTATTTCCATCTTGTTAACTGGTAAAGAATACTGTAACTTTTTCTTTTTCTTTTAGTTATAACTTAATTGGAACTAAAATTCTGTATTGTGAACTTGATGGAGAAAATGTGAATTGGAGTGACAATCCCCCACTATGTGAAGGTACCTTAACTGTATTCTCTCTTTAGAATTTTGACCAGCAGTTCTCACACTTTGTGCTCTGAGAACCCCTTACCCTTTTAAAGTAAAAAAGACGCCAACAGGCTTTCCTTTATGTGACTTATAATCTAGACATTCGTTATATTGGAATTAAAACTGAGACTTTTTAAAATAATTATTTGTTTATTTTTAAGAACATTAAGCTCAATACATGGTAACATATTCACCATATTTTTGTGAAAAATCAATTTTCCAAAACAAACAGAATATTGGCATTGTTTTACATTATTGCAAATCTCTTCACTATGTTTCTTAAAAGATGACATCTAGCTTCCATCTGTTGCATTACCATCCAATTTATACCCTCTGGAAAATTTCACCATACACTCATAAGGACGAAAGTGAAAAAAGGCAATAGTATCTTGGTATTGTAAACCACCGATTTAGCAAATGGATATATTTATAAATTAGAAAGGCTATGTCAAGTAGCACTGAGTTTTATTCTTGATCACAAGATATTTTCTCAAAAAATTGTCAGCATCTCTTATGATGAGAACAAAACTTAGCATGGCCATATACATAAATGTAGATAGTTCATTTATATATTTTATATAGATATTTAAGAAAACAGATTTTATTTTGTAAGTCCATTTTTGTGTTAATGGTTTGAATTTAGGGTAATGCAATTTCTCATAGAATCCCTTTTCTAAATGGATGTTGGATGCACAGCTAGATTGTACAAATCATACGTTAATGAGCGTGTTGAAGCAGTTCCTAGTACTTTACTAATGCCATCTTACTTTTTTACCTTTCCTTTTGCCTTTCATGCCCTCTTTTTTTCCCTTGTTCAGTGATGCGTTGTAGACCACCTCCAAAAATACAAAACGGAAAATACAGCATAACCGACCAGGAGGACTTTAGATATGGTGAGGTAGTAACTTACAGTTGTGATCCTGCAAACGGACCGGATGAATATTCACTTGTTGGAGAGAGCAAGCTTGTCTGCTCTGGGAATGACGTATGGAGTAGTAAGCCTCCTGAGTGTAAAGGTACAAATAGTTCCATTTATATCAGTCTTCATTGCAAATACTATAGAAACACTTTATAAATCGTTTTACCTGAAGGTAGACAAAACAGTGATGTGTGTGTCCTCCTCCTGTTAAATTGACTTCTAATTTAATTTAATATAGGTTAAAAAAGCACTGCATAAAGGATATAGCATAAAGTAAAAGAGAGGAGCAAATTAAACCCAAAATAAGGACACAGAATGAAATAAATAAAACAGAAATTACTGCTAGAGAAAGAGAAAAAAACACAGAGAATCAATGAAACCAACATCTTTTTCTTGGAGTATATCAGCAATATGAATAGACCCATAGTCAGTGTGACACACAAAAAAGAAGATATAAAATATCAATATCAAGAATGAAAACGGACATCACTAAATATCCTGCGGACATTTACAGGATAATAAAGGGAATAAAACAAGCAACTTTGTGCCTCTAAATTTGACAGCTTAAACCTTCTCACAAAGAGAACTGCAGGCCCCGTGTGCTCACTGGGATGTTCTGCCAAACATTTAAGGACAAAAGAAGAGCAGCTCTACGCAAACTCTTCAAGAAAATAGAAGAGGCAGGAACACTTCTCAACTCCTATCAATAGAATGGCATTGCTGTGATACCAAAACCAGACAAAATCATTGCAAGAAAATAGTAAACAACATCCATAATGAATATAGAACGAAAACTTCTTAAATTAAATCCTGTCATATATAAAAATACAAATACATCATAATCAAGCAGGATTTAATCCATGAATGCAAGGTTGATTCAAATTCAGAAATTGATTATTTTACCATATCAAGACAGTATAAAGAAAAAAAGTCGCATGATCAGTTTAATAGATGCGAAAAAAAAGCATTTAACAGAATTCATCATCTTTCTTGATAAAACTTCTCGGCAGACTAGGAATAAAAGGGAAGTATCTGAAACTGATAAAAGGCACCTACAAAAATCCCACAGCTAACATCATATTTAATGGTAAAAGACTAATTTATTTCTGGCTAAGGTAGGAACAAGACAAGGACATGTATTCTCTGCACTCTATTCAGCACTGTATTGGAGATCCTAGCTAATACAATAAGCCGAAAGATAGAAATAAACATCATTTCAGAAAGGAAGAAATGAAATAGACTTTATTGACTTAGCATGTGATTCTGTAGAAAATTTGAAAGACTGAAGTCTTAGCCAGGTTGCAAGTCACAATATCAACATACATAACTGAATTGCAAAAAAACATTAGAAATGGAAATTCTTTTAAGTAGTATTTACAACAGCTCCAAAATACCCAAGGTGCTTGCATATAGAGCTAACACGTGTGCAAGGTTTGAATGGTAAACACAACTAAACCCTTGTAAAAGAAATTAAAGAGGATCTTAATAAATAGAAATTCATTGGTCATGGATTGGAAGATTCAGTGTAATAAATGTGTCCTTCTTAACTCATCTATAAATTCTGCACAATCCAAAAAAAAAGAAATCCCGGCAGAACTTTTCGTAGAAATTGACAAGCTATTCCTAAAATTTATATGAAACGTCAAAAGAAGTGTAATAGTCAAAACAATTTTGAAAAAACTTAGAGGACTCATTCTACTTGGTGTCAAGACTTATTATAAAACACAACTGTAAAGCATATCATCAACAAACTGTGCTGTTGGTGGAAAGATGACCATGCAGAACAATGGAACAGAACAGAGAGCCCAGAAATAGACCCTTTCAAATGTGTACAATTGATTCTGTCACAGGTTTACAAACAATTTGGTACAAAAATGGTGAAAGTACAGGCACAATTGAGCATCCATATGCAAAAAAAAAAAGAGAAGCTCAACCATGTGAGCATCATGTACATTTGCTCAAAGTAGATCGTAGAGTTAAATGTAAATCTAAAAGTATAAGACTTTCTGTAGAAAACATACAACATGTTTGTGACCTAGCCAAAGATTTCAATACAACCATAGAAGCGTGATCCTTTAGAATAAAAATTAATTAATTGGACTTAAAAGCTCAAAACTTCTGCTCCCAGAAGACACTGTTACTAGAATGAAACAAATGAGTCATAGACTGGGGGAAAATATTTGCAAAGCACACATCTGATAATGGACTTATATCTATAATATATAGAGAACTCTCAAAACACAAGAATAAGAAAACATCTCGATTTTTTAATTATGGGCAAAAATTGGAGTACACCCAGTTCACCAAAGAAGATGTGTGGATGACAAAAAAATGCATGTAAGAGTGCTCAGCAGCATTAGTAATCACTGAAATGTAATGTAAAACCACAATGAGATACTACTATGCACCTATTCGAATGGCAGAAAGTAAAAACCAAAACAAAAAGGTAAAAATACCATGTACTGCCAAGGTTATGGAGCAACTGGAACTCGCATACATTGCTGGTAAGAATGCAAAGTGGTATGACCATTTTGGAACACAGTTTGGTAATTTCTTAGAAAGTGAAACATACACTTAACATACAATGCAGCAATCCAAGTAAAATGAACACATGTTCACACAGAAACGTGTATGAGAATATTCATAGCAACCTTACTCATAATCTCACCCATCACTGGAAACAACCCACATGTTTTTCAAGTGGTGACTAGATGAGCACACATGATATATCCATACAATGGAGTAAGACTGCAATAAAACAGAATGAACTTCTAATCCGTGCAGCAACAGGAGTGAATCTCACATGCATTCTGCTAAGTGAAATGAGCCATACTCATGGGCTGTGATCCCAATATGACATTCTGGAAAAGCAACACAATAGAGAGAGAAAACAGATTAATGGTTGCCTCATTGGGGCAGGTGGTTGGGAGGGTGGGAAGGATTGATTACCAAACGGCATGAAGAAATGTTTCGGGCTTATGGGACTTTTCTATCTTTACTGTGCTAGTAATTGCATGATTCTTTGCATTGTGTCAAAACGTATCCAGCTATACACTTAAAAGGGTGAATTTTACTGTATGTAAGTTATATCTAGTGAATCTAACTTGAAAATCTTTAGGCAATTAACAGCAGTTTAGCACAACAGAGAGAAAATCAGTGAACCAGAAGTCAGGACAATAGAAATCCAACATGCTTTGAAAAGAACTATTAGAGAGAGAGAGAGAGACTTTCAGCTGTGGGAGAGTAGCAAGCGGTCAAACCTAGATGTAATTGAAGTTTCAGAAAGGGAAGAGAAAGAACAGTATAGACAATTTTTTGAATAAACGTGGGCCAAAAGTTACCAGATTTGATACCAAACAATAACCCTACGGCTCCAGGAAATTCAGTGACCTAACAGGATAAAAAAAATTTTTAGTTTGCCAAGAAACCCACACCAAACTAAATACATCATGGTGAAAGTAGTGAAACAAAAGATAAACAAAAAAGCTGCCAGTGAGAGGGAAAAAACATTACTTTGCCTACCCACCCAAGTATGAATGACAGCTAACTTCCCTTAAGGAGCTGTGGACACCAGAAGACAATATCTGCCAGTGAGCTGAAAGAGAAAGAAAACCTTTAACCTAGAATTCTCTGTCAAGGAGACATCTTCAAAACTGAAGGTGAAATATATAAAAAGATTTTCAGATAAACAAGAGCTAAGAGCAGTTGTCACTAGTCAACCTGCACAACAGGAATTGCTAAAGGAAGTTGCTTGGGCTGAAGGGAAATGATGTCTGCTGGAAATTCGGATCCAGGGGAAAGGGGAAGAGCGCTCTTCTGGCTGGAGAGGCTCTGCATCCTGCGGCCTTTGCTGCTGCTCCGAGTTGACCTCACACGATGTTCTCTTGTACTCAGTGCCCACGCCAGCGTGTTTTTGTTTTTGTTTTTTCCAAATTCTGTCAAACTCATTAACGGATCCTGAAATCAATCTAGAGGGACTTGACCAGCATTTTGCTTCTTCAGAAGCAGAGTGGAAGGGGAAACACCAGAGTACACTGGTATGGAGGCTGAGTACTAACTTGATTTCAGGCCTGTGCCTGGATACTGGTTTACAGCGTAAGGTGTGTTTCTCGATCTCTGGGCTGGAGGCCAAAATGTTCGGAAAACACTGCCCTAACTCCATTGGCCTTTCTGTTTCATGAACATCCCAGTTTGGGTATGTTATTGCTCTGAGATCTTTCTTTTTGCATATCTTTGCACTTCTTTTCAACTTTTAAATTTGAGCTCAAGTATTACCTTCTCAGTGTTTCCTCCCGTTCTCAGAAAGCAGCGTACTGTGATCAGTGTGGGCCTGACCTTAAAAAGAGTCCCCAGAGCTAAAGAGCATCAAAAGTTGATTTTGAACTTACCTGGAATTTGTATCTTGTAGTCAGACCTTTCCCAAAACATCTCTGCATTGGGAAAAAGTGTAGGAAAGCCAATAAATTATAATGGCAGTCTATTCGTAGTGGAAAAAGTTATTAGATTTCTCTAAATCTGTTTTCCTGGAATTACACTGCACAGATAAGGTCTTTGTTTGTTCCTTTGTTTAATTAACATCGTGCCTTCCACTCCTTGTATTTCCTCCCACTGGAATTTACTACTTCGCACTAGTTTTTTTGGGGCTCTGTTAAAGCAGCTTTCCATTAATTCTGTAATTTTTCCACTTTTCAGTGGTCAAATGTAAATATCCAGTACTTGAAAATGGAAGAATAGTATCAGGATTTGGATCAAAATTTTACTACAAAGCCATGGTTGTATTTGAATGTGTCCCGGGTTTTTACCTCAGTGGCAACAACACAATTGTCTGTGGCGCCAACAGTACTTGGGAGCCTGCGATTCCGAAGTGCATTAAAGGTACGAGGGTATCTTTTTCCTTCCTTTTTGTTTTTCTTTTTTAGATTTTATTTCTTTGATCGTAAATATCAGTGATACAGAATAACTGAAAAGAAGTAATTTTGCTGTTTAACTCTTGTCTTGTATTCGTTTCCATGACACATATATGACGTGCAATTCACAAGGAATTCTGTTGTGATTTTGTGTGTTTTCCTAGAGTTTTAGCATGTTATGAACCTCACACAGGCATATGTGTCTAGCGTTCAGCTTATTTTTATGTGTAAAAATGGATTGCAACCATTTTTGAGAAAATTGAAGCATGGGAATTTTTACCTAAACAAGTCAAGAATGAAAGGCATAATTCATATAAATGAAAAGAAAACAATAATTCCCAAGTGGTTAATCCAGTCGATATCATTTTGTTTTCCAGTGCTGATTGCTGTCAGTACCAGAAGTTCGATTTTGAATCATTTGGGTTCAATAACTTGCTGGTTGTATTTTCAAAAAGTCTTTTCGATTCCTGGTGGAAATGCCACCATAACTCCCATGCGTCCCCACATAATCTACATTATTTTGTTTTGTAGCGTTGACTTTTCCCTGTACAACATCTCCAGTTTCCACTGTCTCAGGTTGAGTAACTTCCTGGTTGTATTTTTCACAGGTCTTTTCAATTCCTGGTGCAAATGTCAGCAATAACTCCCAAGTATATGATTCAGACTACATTATTTTGTTTTCTAGAGTCACCTCCTCCCAGTACAACACCTCCAGTTTCCAGTACCTCAGGTTTAGTAACTTCCTTCTTCTATTTGTCAAAATCCTTTAAGTTCCTTGTGATTTTTTCAAAATCCTTTAAGTATCTGGTGATTTACACTCATTTATCATTTTTAGTAATGAAAAGAACATATTTCCAGCCATTTTAGTTATTGTGATTCTCAAATTATTTGCCATAGTCCGCCGATATAAATAGACATGTAAACTTGGGCAAGTTATGTAAACGTTCAATGTGTTTCCTTCTATTTAACAGGATGTAATGCCTTCCTCACTTGGTGATAGTAAAGTGTAAATGGAATGCGCTTAAAGCAGTTAGCACAGGCAGTGCCTGGCATATAGGAAGCCCTTAAAGGTAGCTCATATGACTTACAGCATCATTCAAATTAATATTAGTGAAGAGGAAGGTCCCTGGCACTGTTTTTTAATATGTATGCTTTCTATGTCGTCATCTTTGCTATTTTATTCATTTTAAAAGTGATCTGTCGACACCTTTACAGGGTATCTTCTTTATCCTGGATTATGTTTCATTTCCTGGATTGCAACCAGAGTAGTTCTTTTTCTGTAGTAAATTTAAACTGGGAAATTCTGCTGTCTTCATAAAAAGAACTTTATTTCTACTGTTGGGGAGGGAAAATTTTCCTTCTCTCCTTCTAAGTTCTTTGGCTTGTCTAATAATGATATTAACAGAAGACAAATTGGCAGGAGAAAAACACATTTAATTACCTATATATGGGGGCCTTATAAGAATATGAATCCCACAGGCAGTCAGGCAGTGAGGCTAGTTCATGCCATCCTGAGCTAAGGAGAAGAGTAGGGCTCTGAAAATTCAACGAGGAGGAAGACAATTTACAGGAAGGTGGGTAGAGTCAAGGTTTGGTAAACAAATGTTTGCCGTGCCATGCAGAGACAAAGGGACACAGAGAGGACTTTGAATAAGCGGGCCTTGCTAAGTGCCCCCAGTCTACCACACCTAGCTCATATTTTTGGTAGTTATCTCTGGTCATAGCTCCCTTCCTGGAACAGGTCCTCAATCTAATTTCTTTTATGCAGTTAAGGGTTAGGCAAAAAGAAAAACTTCCTGAATCTTTTGTTTCTTAAAAATAATCAGCCTAAAATCATCCTCCTGCCAAAGAGACACATTTTGCGGTGGCAAATTTTGCTCCCTTACAGCCTTTGAAACTTCCCCGAAACGTTTCAGCGTCCAGAAATTGAGTTGGCAGATTGTTCCGTGTTATTCAGCTACTCTCGTCTTCACAATAAGTCAGTTCTTTTCAGCTTATTTCAGGAGGCTTTGATGTAGGTGTGCTGTCAAAGTTAGGCCGATGGTGCAAGCAGTCAGGTATTTAATACGAGGCATTTCTATGAGAACAAAAGAAAAACAATGGTTAATGATTAGAGCAGACTATAATCCCAGTTTCTGAGTTATGAGGGTAGGCAGTCAAGACAATTTCTAGGCTCAAAGCATCTTCAGATGGTGAGGGCAGGCAGTGGCAATCTAACAGATTTTCCTGGTTTGCGGTTTGAATGTCTCTGATGATGTACTGGGTGTACCTATAAACTTTCTGAGTGGCCCACACAGCAACAGGCAGGAAGAGGATTGTCTAAACCTGAGCTATTGGGGTGATTTCTCTGCATTTTATATCAAGTCATTCGTATTCAGTTTTCAGTGCTTCAGGGAAAGAGGCAGCTTTCGTCCTTAGTGATTTGAAGTAAAATGGGTGAAGATGTTAGTTTGGAACATTGTAGCCAGATATGAGGAAACTAGAAAAATTCAGGATCTAGTCCAGTTTACAAGGAAAAAACTTCGAACAGTGAACAGCACTAGAATTTGAGATCAACAAAGGTGTATTACTGAAACATAATTTTTTTCTCTACCATCAGCCCAATTTTTATCAAAGATAACCACAGTAAGATTAATTTGTTTATAGAATAAGTCTGGTCTCAGTAAACTTGTCCTGATTATTTACCCAAGGTCACCAAGAATAGCGATTGACTGTCTAGGCTCTTTTAAGTGTACTTTGCCAGAACTTTTCATAAAGAATCTCACATTGAAGTTTTAAAATCCTCTCGGGGCTGTGAAACTAAGCCAAGGACTTGCCATCAGACTTTGCCTATGATACCTGTAGCTTTTGGTTAATTCTTGTCTTCTTGAGGTCCCCAAAATATCCTGAGGTTCCTGGGTTTTCTAGGAAGTGACCTTCTTACTCACCTGGTAAGGCTGTCAGGAGCCCTGTATGCAAGATACCAGGCTGATTTTTCCAAGGGCCTTTGTTGGTTCCATAAAATCAATATTGCCTTAAAGCTGTCTAGTCATATTTGAGTCTATCTATGTCTCTCTCCAATATGACATTCCAGTAAAGCCTTGGTAATATAACCAATGCTTCTGTGTCCTGTTACAAGGAGAACAGATTCTTAGAGAACGTATGCAAATAACTGTATTACCATGAAAATAGAATACTCACGGAGAGTTTCCAAATTCTGGAGGAATCAGCCAGGGAGAAAAAGATAAATGTTTCATCTTTGTTCAAAAAGGTATCTTTTTTACCAAATTGCTCTAAGTTATAGGTAGCTTAAGAGAAAAAGAGAAAAACATTTCCTTAAATATGGAAAACCAAAACATTGAAAATAAATCAGCAGTGTTGCAGAGAAAAAAGTTATAAAAAATTATAATCATCCTTGTCAGTTCATTTAGTCCCATGGAATTAATTCTTGTAATGATTGAATCCAGGTTTTCTACTAGTTATGGAAATTCTTACTCTGTTCAGTTTTATGATCTTGAAGTTATCAGAAACCGTATTGTCCAAGTTCGTTCCACGAGTTCTCCTTTAAGATAAAGCACTTTTGTAGGAATGCTTTTGTAAAAGCATCAGAATAAAACAATAACCCTCTGTAAAAGACAAAAGACTTAAGAATGCCCATTATTAAAGATCTGATGAGAGTTCATTATCAGGGAATTGACAAGGAAATTTGGTTATTTCTGTGGCAGACAACATTTTAAGATAAAAACCGGAATTATGACTGATAACATTATACTGGGACATATCAGATTTTCAGATATATATATATCAGCTTATTTTAGGTTGAAAGTTGCTTAAGTGTGAACACATTCTAAAAGTTCCCATGGTGTAGGTTTTTTGATGTTTTTCTTTTTTGCTGAGGAAGATTTGCCCTGTGCTAACATCCATGCCATTCTTCCTCTATTTTTTGGTATGTGGGCCACCTGCACAGCATGGCACTAACAGAGCAGTGTAGGTCTGTGCCCGGGAGCCAAACCTGGCCTGTGAACTGGAGTGCACGGAACTTAACTAGGCCACCAGGGCTGACCCCATGGTTTATGTTTTTGACATCATATTTTACATGTTTTTATATTGTATATCCCTTAACTACTTATTGTAGTTACAGTTGATTTTTCTACTTTTGCCTTTTAACCTTCATACTAGTTTTATAAGTGGTTCATCCACTGTCTTTTCTATGTAGTCGCCTTTACCGGTTTGGATTTTTCTTTCATATCTTTTCTTGTTTCTAGTTATGGCCTTTTGTACTTTGTTTAAAGAAGTCCGTTTAACATTTCTTATAAGGCCAGGTTAGTGGCATTGAACTCCTTTATTTTTTGCTTGTCTTGGAAACTCTTTATCTCTCCTTTAATTCTGAATGGTAGCCTTGCAGGGTAGAGTATTCTCGGTTGTAAGCTTTTTTACCTTTCAACACTTTGAATATATCAAGCCACTCCTGGTCTGTAAAGTTTCTGCTGAAAAGTCACCTGATAGCCTTCTAGGGGTTCCCTTGTGCTTGACTAGTTGTTTTTTTTTTCTTGCTGCTTTTAAGATTCTTTCTTTAACTTTTGACATTTTAATTATAATGTGTCTTGGTGTGTATCTCTTTGGGTTTATCTTGTTTGGGACTCTCTGTGCGGCCACACCGTGGTAGGGGTTTTGGCAGGAACATTTCTCTGCCTCTCCTGGGCGTCTCAGTGTGGTCGTGTTTCTCCCGTGTTGTGGAACAGGTGCTCCACTAGCTCTGTTTCTTTCAGGTAGAATTGATCCATATGTAGTTTATGTATTGTGCCCATGGGAAAAGATAAGTTCGGGCTCTTCCTCTACGCCATTTTGAACCCCCACCTCGGATATATCTGCAAAAGGACATTGCATAGGAGGGCCTGAAGCTGGCAGAGCGTAATTATAGAGCCCAGCAAAATGAGCCTTATGTCTGAGCCTTATTTTCTGTCCTTGGTGCTTCTGTTAAGTTTATTTCCTGGCTTTTAGTATTTACGTGTGTAACCTGTATATTCTGGGCTTAGAGATGAAGCCAGAGTGCTCTCTGTAAATGTTGTATGAAAAGAGAAGCTAAAATAAGCAGCTGGGTGTTTAAAGAATTTTCTGGGGAGAGTGGAGGAGTTTTGGGAGCTGAGGGAGTTTGCTGAGGAGATGGGGCCAGATTTTAAGGAGGGGAATTTATGTTGGGTGGGGACTTTAATTTTCTTCTAAGTCTAATTTCTGGCCTTTCATCTTATTGAGTGAGTCCTTAAGGCTCGCCATGATACTTCTTTGTATCTACCTTTCCATTTGGACTTTGTGTAGGTACCAGTAAGACAATTGCTTAGGATGAGAGCTCTCTAAAAAAATTTTGTTTTAAATGTAGAAGTTTTTCCAGTTCAAACGGTTCATCTTCTGGCCGTTGATGAATAGGATCTATTAACCTCAATAGCAGGTAAAACCAGTAAGCCTTTTATGGCTTATCCATGGATGCAAGAGGCGTCCCAAACTAGGGTAGAAAAGATGCAGCCCTCACAAGATCCAGAAAGTTCCTTCTCAGAAGTAGCTTAAGACAGCAAAGGCCTTTGTTGTTAGTAGGCAGTAAGAATGGTATAGTGAAAATGGTGTATGGTTTCCCGTGAAAATATGAGACGCGTCCAGTCACAGACCTGCTGATCTGTGACACTGGGCAGACACTACTGGAGTGAGACTTTTTGCAGCACTAACAAAACAATGAAGTTTGAGACAACAAAACCCCTTATGGATGGGACCCCTTATGACAGACTCCCCTGAGAACTGGCACAGAGAGTGCCGCTTGTAACTTCATGTCTTGGAAGCCCTCTATTCGACTAGCTACCAAGATACACATTGGGGCATGCACCTTCCACCTGGTGGAGACCAGAGAGAATATTCTCATTCATCAGAAAGCCAAGCTCTCAAGACATAGAACAAGATGAAAGGAAAACCTCATCTTACATGCACATTAACAGCTTTAGCTAAGCCTTGGGTTTCTTGAAGTCAAACTAATGTTTCCAAGATATCCCTTAGCAACAGCGTTTACTTCATATGCACATTAACCCACAGCAAAGTTTGTCTAAATAGACACCAGTCTGGGGAGAACTGGGAATTCACCAGTCTGTGAGGCTGGCTGGAACAGCAGGCTTATAGGACCTATGCCTGTGTTCTGCCTTATCGTTTCCGTTCTTATGACAAACACCACAGCAGACAGAGATAAAGAAAAATAGTGACTGTCTCTGGGAGGAAAAGGATTAATAAAAGCTGAGAATACTTACAACAAATCTTTACCTGAGTTGCTATACCCAAGAAACTAGTTCCAAAACTATTTTCTCCTGCTGCTCTAAATGGAGAAAAGGCAAAAGCACTGACCACTCTTGTTTGCACCAGACCCTGCAGGTAGAGATCTGGGAGACTGACATGGTAAGAATTCTTACGTTCCGCCATCGCTTGTCAGGGGTCCCAGGATCTCTCAGCTGCAGCAGTCCCGGAGTGAGCATTGCCCCACCAGTGAGGTATCTCCTGCCAACTACACCGACTGTTGGGGAGGAATAATTTTGCTTATACCCTTCTAGGTTCTCTGGCTGGTCCGGTAATCAAATAAACATAAGACAGATTAACAGGAGAAAAATAAATTTAATTACATATGTACGGGGGCCCCATAGGAATTGAGACCCACAGGCAGTCAGGCAATTGAGGCTCATGTGCCATCCTGAGCTAAGAAGAAGCGGGTAGGGGATGGGACTGCACCAGGGAGGAGGACAGTTTACGGGAAGATGGGAAGGGCACATGCTTGCAAACCAATGATTGCCGTGCCACGCAGAGACTCAAGGACACACGGAAGGCTTTGAACAAGCAGGCCTTGCTCAGTGCCCCCGGTCTGCCACACCTAGCTCACATTCTTTGGAGTTATCTCTGGTGACAGCTCTCTTCCTGAAACAGGCCCTCTGTCTAAATTCTTTTAAGCAGTTAAGGGACAAGTAAAAAGAAAAGTTTCCCACATCTTCTGTTTCTTAAATGAATTAGCCTAAAATAATCCTCATGCCGAAGAGACACATTTTGGGGTGGCAAATTTTGCTCCCCCAGACTACCCCCCACCCCTCCCCACTCCATGTAATTATTCTTTTTCTCTTTACTGGACAGTTTGCTTTGGCAACAGAAACTGAATTTCATAGCACTTGAAAGGCAGGAAAAGTCCTTTTTTGTTGAAGTGAAATGGAGGCTTTCTTGCAGGGACTCTGATCAACTGCTGCGCTTAAGACTTGAGAGATGACTTTGAGGTGGTGGAAGCAGCCGTCTTCCTGACTGCAGTGCTGCTGTCTCTGGCTTCTCCTTGGTTGCAGCAGAAGCAGGAGACAGCAGGGGCAGTGGGCGGAGCCGTGGCCTGGGCAGATCTCGCTCAGGCTCCTAGGCTGGCTCTGCTTACTCAGGGAACACCATTTCTGTGGGCTGGAGTTGCCCCTTGTTTAATAAGACTGTTGAACTCAAACAAATCTCAAGTACTGGATTCTAATTTGTGTATTTCCCATGTCCCTGATATTTAAAGGATTGAGGGGAATTATGCATGTCAATATGGTAATTAGAACGCCTTTTTATAATTCCCGTAACCTGGTACCTGGCAGCCCCCTGGAGTACTAGGTAGATCTGATTGTGCTGATATCAAAAATGTCCATGAAATGCTAAGTGGGAAAGAAAAGGCTATAAACTAACTAGTGTGATACTACTTGGGTGGGAATTTCTTTAAAAAACTCACACGTTTACTCTGAACGCATTAATTTTATGATTTATTATTAGTTAACTGGTAGGCTTTCCATCATAAAATACAAAGCTATAGTGAACATTATTATGCATACATTCTTATGTGCTTGTGGCAATATACATTTAGGTTAAATTCCCAGAAGTGGAATTGCAATATTAGAAAGTATGTGTATTTTCCATTTTGAGAAATAATCTCTTTAAAAAATCAAAAATCAAAATTAAATTCCTAATTTTGTATCGATAAGGGTGGTGAATTGAATCAAATTTATTTTTCCAGGTTCCAAACCTGCCATTACAACCAAGCCACCTCGGGTGTCGAGTTCTCCAGGTTCAGTAACTTTCTCCTACTTCTCTCATTAAGAGCTTGATAAGATGATGGCTGAAAAATGATGTCGTATATTCATCTGCATTTCTTTATCAAGGAAGCGGAACTTTTTTTGGTCTACATTTATTTGTTCATGTCCTTTGCTCATTTTTCTATTTAGTTTCTAAAATATTTTTCTTGTTGATTTGTCAGAACTCGCTATAACTTAAATCCCTTTTAATTTGAAGGAAGCTTTTCTTCTAGTTCTTTTTCCTTTGCCTTATTTTTACTAGTCAGTTTTATTTAAGATTTTTATACTATTAGATATGGATTGCTTTTTATAACTTTTAATAATGTAAGTATATGAATATAGATTTGTAAAATTTTAAACTTTACAAAATTATACAGACCAAAAGATGAGTTCTCCTTCTCTTTCTCTCGTCCTTTACCCGAGTTAATCACTAAATAGTTCAAGGTGCCTTTTTATCTATTTGTGTACATTTACATCCTTATATGTGTAGTTATACATATTTTGGCATTTTTTCTTTTTTCTTAACCAAAAGTGGCATCATGATGTTCATAGTTTTCTGAAACTTGGACTTTTTCAACTTAATGACTTGGGTTGTATGTAGATATATTCCCATCCTTTTTAGTGATGACTTTAATATATATTATATTTCATTTAACTATTCTCCCATCTGTGGTCATTTGTATATGTAGAAGTTTCACGTTAATAAGTAGTTGGATGTACTGATTTTTCCCTAAAGGCTATGAGTGTTGTGTCTTTCTTATTAAAAGCTGTAGGTCTTCCCCATGCTAAGTTATATGAACATTTCAACTGTGCATTCTGATTGCATTCTTTGCATCTAAATCATTGGTACATCTGAAAGTCGTTATGGTACATGGAATGAGATAGGGCTCCTCTCCACTCTCCCCACCCCCATCCAATGGCTAAGTGCACCATTTGTCGAGTAAGTTGTCTTCTGTCCAACTGTTTTAAAGTCCCAGTGTTTTTTTTGTAATTAAATGAAAGAAATTTTTTCAGGTTTATTAAGATATAATTTCCAAATAAAAGCTGTTTCCATTTCAGTTGTACCACTTGATACATTGTATCACAATGTTGTATACATTGTGACATAATCAAGCTAATTGACACATCCATCAACTCACAGTTACTATTTTTTTGTGTGTACGTGGTGAGAACGCTTAAGATCCTCCCTCTAAGCAAATTTCAAGTCGCAATAGAGTCTTGTTAACTGTAGTCACATGTCACGTCCCAATTTTTATCATGCACTAAATTCATAGGTGTTCTAGTCATCTTTCTGTTCCCTTGAACTCTGTCCAGTCCTGTGCCAGCACCTACCTGTTTTTCTGTAGGTCTATGATATGTTTTCATATCTAGTAAAACAGTGCCTTTTCAGAAATGCTCAGGCTAGTCTTCTATGTTAATTTTTCAAAATCGACTTTTATTTTTTTTAGCATTTTAACCCTTTTAAGTGTACATTTCACTGGCATTGAGTACATTCACGTTGTTGTGCAACCATCGCTGCTATCTCCAAAACAGTTTCCTCATCTCAGACTGACCCGTTACACCCACTAAACAATAGCTCCATTCCCCAAGCCCTGGTAACCACTGTTCTGCTTTCGTCTCTATGAGTTTCGCTGTCATAGGTACCTCATACAAGTGGAATCACTTCTGGCTTATTTCACTTAACATAATATGTTCTGCCTTATTTCACTTAAGCATAATGTTTTTAAATTTCATCCATCTTGTGGCATATATCAGAACTTTATTCCTTTTTATGTGTGAATAATCATCCAGTGTTTGTATACTACATTTAGTTTATCCATTCATCTGTTGATAAACACTTGGGTTGTTTCCACCTTTTGGCTATTCTGAATAATACCTCTCTGAATATTGACATTTGAGTACATGAGTCCTTGTTTTCAATTTTAGGGGGTATATACGTAGGAGTATAATTGCTGGGTTATATGGGAATTCCATTTACTCTTTGAGGAACAACCGTGCTGTCTTGCACAGTGGCTGCACCACTTTACATTCCCGCCTCCCACCAGTGATGCACAAAGTTTCCAATTTCTCCACCTCTTTTCCAACACTTAATATTTTCTGTTTTTTTGATAATAACCATCCAAATATATGTGAGGTAACATCTCATTGTGGTTTTTCTTTGCATTTCCCTAATGATTAGGGGTTATCTTTTCATGCATTTATTGGTCTTTTGTATGTCTTGATTGGAGAAATGTCTGGACAAGTCCTTTGCCCATTTTTGAATTGGTTTGTTCTTTTGTTATTGAGTTTTAGGAGGTCATTATATATTTTGGATATTAATCCCTTATCAAATATATGATTTGCAGATGTTTCCTCTCATTCTGTGGATTGCCTTTTCACTCTATTGATAGTTTCCATTGGTGCACAAGCTTTTTAATTTTGAAGAAGTCCAGTTTATCTATTTCTTCTTTTGTTGCCTCTGCTTTTGGTGTCACATCCAAGCCAAGAAATTGCCAGATCCAACATCATGAGACTTGTCCTCTAAGTTTTCCTCTAAGAGTTTTATGGTTTTAGCTCTTTTAAGTTCAGTTCTTTGAGCCCTTTTGAATTAATTTGTGTGTGTAGTGTAAGATAAGGGTCTAACTTCATTCTTTTGCATGTAGATATGCAGTTTTCCAAGAACAATTTGATAAAAAGACTGCCTTTTCCTCATGGAATGTTCTCAGCAGTCTTGTGGACAATCGTTTGACCACCTATGCAAGGGTTCATTTCTAGGCCCTCTCTTCTATTCCATTGGTCTGTCTTATGCCAGTACCACTCTGTTTTGAGTACTGTAGCTTTTTAGTAAGTTTTAAAATCATGATGTGTAAGTCCTCTCGACTTCACTCTTCTTTTACAAGATTGTCTCAACTCTTCCTAGTCCCTTGAGATTTTATATGAATTATAGGTTGGATTTTTCTATTTCTGCAAAATGCATGTTCAAGATGATGGGCATTGCATTTAATCTGTAGATGGCTTGTGTGCAGTATTAACATCTTCAAATTCAGTCTTCCAGTCTTCCAATCCATGAGCACAGGATGTCTGTTCAGTTATGTATGTCTTCAGTTTCTTTCAGCAATGTTTTGTAGTTTTCATTATACGAGTCTTTCACCTCCTTGGTTAAGTTTATTCCTAAGTATTTTTGTTTTTCTGATGCAATCATAAATGGAATTGTTTTTTTTAATTTCCTTCTTAGATTGTTCATTGTTAGTGAATAGAAGTGCAACTGATTTTTCCATGTTGATTTTGTAGGCTGCAACTTTGCCAAATTCATTTATTTTAACAGGTTTGTGTTTCTGTGTGTTGTATGCATGTGCATTCATGTGTTTATATCTTTAGAATTTTCCATGTAAAAGAACATGTCATCTAGGACAGAGATCATTTTGTTTCTTCCTTCCCATGTTGGATGCTTTTTATTTCTTTTTCTTGCTTAATTGTTCTGGCTAGAACTTCCAATATTATGTTGAATGGAAGTGGCAAACACAGGCATCCTCTGCTTTTCCTTCTCTTAAGGGAAAAACTTACAGTCTGTCACCATTGACTATGTGTTAGCTATGGGTTTTTCATTAATGGGCTTTATTATGTTGAAGTTTCCTTCTATTGCGGGTCAACTTCTAAATCGTTTATTAAGCTTTCCTATATCTTTTAATTTTAAGGAAAGTCACATTGAATCCATAGGCTAATTTTGACAATGCACTAATGATAAATTTGCTTGCTGTACCACAGAATTGTGACAGGAAATATTACTAGACAAGAAGAATGCTGATGACACTAAACATAAATTTATAATATTTTGTGATACTTTTTTTTATTGCAGTAACATTGGTTTATAACATTATATAAATTTCAGGTGTACATCATATTTTGGTTTCTGTGTAGATTACATCTTGTTCACCACTTAATTTACCATCCATCACTGGACACGTGTCGTTTTACTTCTTTCACCCTCCTCCCTCCCCACTTCCCCTCTGGTAACCACCAGTCCAATCTCTGTCTCTGTGTGTTTCTTGTTGTTGTTTTTAAAGATTGGCACCTGAGCTAACATCTGTTGCCAATCTTATTTTTGTTCTTTCTTTCTTCTTCTCCCCAAAGCCCTCCAGTACGTAGTTAAAGATTCTAGTTGTGAGTGCCTCTCATTGTGCTATCTGGGATGCCACCTCAGCATCGCTTGATAAGCAGTGCCATGTCCATGCCCAGGATCCGCACCAGTTAAACTCTGAGCCAGTGTAGCGGAGCACATGAACTTAACCACTTGGCCCTGGGGCCAGCCCCTGTCATTGTTTTTATCTTCTACTTATGAGTGAGATCATATCGTATTTAACTCTCTGCCTCTGACGTATTTCACTTAGCATAATACCCTCAAGCTCGATCCATGTCTTCAAAAATGGCCAGATTTCATCCTTTTTATGTCTGAGTAGTATTCGATTGTGTATATATATGCCACATCTTCTTTATCCATTCATCCCTTGCTGAACACTTAGGTTGCTTCCAAGTCTTAGCTATGGTGAATAATGCTGCAATGAGCATAGAGGTGCATATATCTTTATGCATTCATGTTTTGGTGTTCTTTGGATAAATATTGCTACCCCAGCTTTCTTTTGATTGCCATTTGCATGGAGTATCTTATTCCATCCCTTCACTTTCAGTTTGTGCATGTCTCTAGGTCTGAAGTGTGTCTCTTGCATGCAGCATATATATGGGTCTTGTTTTTTTATCCAGTTGGCCACCCTATGCCTTTTGATTGGAGCATTTAGTCTGTTGACATTTGAAGCAGCTATTGATAAGAATGCACCTACTGCCATTATGTTACTTTTTTTCTGGGTGTTTTAATAGTTCTTCTCTGTTCCTTTCTTCTCTTGCTCTCTTCCCTTGTGGTTTGATGGCTTTCTTTAATCTTATGTTTGGTTCCTTTCTCTTAATTTTTTGTGTATTTATTATAGGTTTCTAGTTTGTTTAGCTTGAGGTTCAAATATAATAACTAAAGTTGATGGTCTCTTTAGTTTGTCCTCTTTCTAAGAGCCCTATTCTTTTACTCCCCTCCACCCACATTTTATGTTTTTGATATCATATCTAACCTCTGTTTTGTGCATGTGTATCCATTACCCTCCTATCAGTACTTTTCTCTGTTGACCTTCATATTAGCTTCATTGGTGGTGGATCTGCTACCTTTACTGGATATTTGCCTTTACCAGTGAGTTTTTTGCTTTTTTTTTTCTAATAATTTTCTTATTCTTATTTGTGGTCTTCTCTTTTCCACTTAAATTAGACCCTTTCGCATTTCTTATAAGGCTAGTTTCTTGGTGATAAACTCTCCTAGTTTTTGCTTGTCTGTAAGACTCTCTCCTTCCATTCTGAATGATAACCTTGCTATGTAGAGTATTCTTGGCTGTAGGTTTTTTCCTTTCAGCACTTTAAATATATCATGCCGCTCCCTTCTAGCCTGTAAGGTTTCTGCTGAGAAGTCAGGGATATGGGTTTTCCTTTGTGTGTAACTTGTTGCCTTCCTCTTGTGGCTTTTAGGATTCTCTCTTTATCTTTACCTCTGGACATTTTAATTATAATGTCTCGGTGTCGGTCTCTTTGGGTTTATCTTGTTTGGGGCTCTCTGTGCTTCCTGTACCTGGATGTCTGTTTCCTTCCTTAGGTTAGGAAAAATTTTGGCTATTATTTCTTCAAATAGATTCTCTGCCCCTTTGTCTTTCTCTTCTCCTTCTGGGACACCTATAATACAGATGTTAGTGCGCTTAATGCTGTCCCAGAGGTCCCTTAGACTGTCCTCATTCTTTTTAATTCTTTTTTCTTTTACCTCTTCAGCTTGGGTGATTTCCTCTAGTCTTTCCTTGAGCTTGCTGATCTGTTCTTGTGTATCATCTACTCTGCTATTGAGTCACTCTAGTAAATTGTTCATTTCCAGTATTCTATTCCTCTTTTTTATATTTTCCAGATCTTTGTTCAAGTTCTCACTGAGTTCATCCATTCTTCTCCCAAGATCAGTGAGCATCCTTATGACTATTAGTTTGTACTTTTTGTCAGGTAGATTGTTTATCTCTCTTTAGTTCTTTTTCTGGGGTTTTGTCCTGTTCCCTTACTTGGAACGTATTCCTTTGTCTCCTCATTTTGCCTGTTGCTCTGTGCTTATAGCTCTGTATTAGGTAGGTCAGCTACTCTCCCAATCTTGGAGAGCTGGGTTTATGTAAGAGATGCCTTATGAGCCCCAGCAGCATGCTTGCCTCTCATCACCAGTTCCAAATGTTCCAGGAGTTACCCCTGTGTGGGCTGTGTGTCTCCTTCTGTTGTGGCAGGGTTGCTCTTGCTGCAGATGCCCAGAGAGCGCTTGGCTGTCCCCCTAGCCAGCTGGTTGTAGTGGTCAGCTGCGAGTGGTTGCTGCAGTCCTTTCAGTCACTTTATTGGGCAAGGAGAGTCCCAGCACAGTTGGCTGCAAGGTCTAATAGCACATTCCTGTTGGAATTTTTTTGTTAAGTGAGTAGTCCCCCAGCATGGCTGGTTGTTTGGCTCAGGGCTTACAATTTCTGTAGGCTCCTGTCCTGCAAGGCTATTGTCAACTCTCTCAGGATTGCAGCTGAGTGGGGCTGGCCACAGGCATGGGAACACCTATTTGTTTCAGTCTTTGGAAGGTGAGGAAGATCCCATATATGGCTGTTTGAGAAGCACAAGTCTGCTGCAGGTGACAGGCCCCACTGCCCGCAGAGCCACCCACCCCATCAACACAGTGCTGCCCTGTACACATACCCTGACCCACTGAAGTGAACCCAGTCACCCCACTGCAGAAGCCTCATATGCTCCACCAGTGCAGCCCGACTCCTCACACATGCCCTGCCCCACACACGCAGATCCACTCTCCCAGCTGCAGAGGTTCCAGGCACCCCACCTTTGTGGGCCCACAAGTTGCCTGAGGGCTTGCTGTTGGGTTGGGCCAGTCCCTAGGGTGAGCTGCCTGCCCTGGCTGAGCTGGATTAAGATGGTTCTCTAGTGTGTGGGGCAGACCCTTGGGCTAACAGGCCAGAGGAAGAACTCCACTGGCATCTGCCAGAGTCTGTGTCAGCACACCTGTACTAGGTCACAGTAATGGTTGCTGCCAGTGTCTCAGTCCCTGGAGAGGTCTCACCTCTCACTGAGATGCACCCAGAGCCTATCAGGTGAGTCTCTTTTCACCAGAGGACTGTGTACCTTTCGGGTGAGTTTAGGTTGCTTTCTAAAATGGGTGAATTTGTGCATGGGCCCTTTAAGAGCAGGCTTTCTTTCCCCCTTATGTCCAGTACCTTTTCTGGGGATATTCCCTGTTGTAGTTAGTAGCCAACAAAGCCAGATACTATGACACTTGTCTTGGTTGTGCTGAGGCCAGAAGCTGCTTATAGTGATAACACTGTCCTGCTCAGATCCCACACTCCTCCAGGGAAGGCTGCGGACCCTAAGAGTCCTCTTGGACGGCCACGAAGTGCTGCAGCTTGCGAGGGTGGCTTTTTCCTCTCCAGAAGGGAATTTCTGCCTCTTCCACTTCAGTCAGCACTGTCGCTTGTTGTGGGGGTTCTTTTTATCCAGTTTTCAGTTCTCTCTCAGGGGTAATTGTTCCAAGACTAGTCGTAAATTTGTTGTGTCCATGGGAGGAGGTGAGTTCAGAGTCCTCCTACACTGCCATCTTGATACTGTCCTCGAAAAATATTTTTAAATGTAATAAAAATGACCTAGTGAAAGAGAAGTTATTACAAAACAACTTGTGAAATGCTCTGTCATACTACTTTTAATGAGAAGCATTAATATAATTTATATAGGGAAAATGAGGTTATCAGGGTTTTTGTACAAAGTCAAAAAAAATCAAACCTATAAATTTAGTGGTCTTTAACCTTCATATTTTTTTTTCTTTTTATTTAACTTATTTTCATTTTTTTCTAGGACATCCTGGTACCACTGATGAATCACAACCACCTGAAGACGTGGCACCTTTAGGTATTATTTTGGTTACTAATACTCCTGCATTATGAGACCTTACAGTTCTACATGGAAATACCATATTTTGATTTTCTATAGTTAGAGAAGAAACAATGTATCACAAATTGGTAATAACAGGCATTTGTAATTATTTTAATACTGCCGGAACCATGACAAATGGAAGCGGTCATATGTGTAGACACACGTAGATCATACATTTCTTAAGAGGTGCCTAAAATTAGCATTCCTAGTAAGGCAAGATAACTTTCTTAAATGCTATGGTTATATGTTGGTTAAAATATATAAAATGTAACTTGCTTTCCATGTGATAGTTTTATTTTGTGATGGCAAATTTTACATAGATTTTCTTCGTAGTCATACCTTATATACACAAGCCTTAAAACACTATAAGTTGGGTGAGATTTTTTTCTGTAACAGGCTGGTGTAGCACACATCCTGTAGGCTCACATAGTTCACACAATTTGTTTTAAAGAAAATAATGAAATATAGTTGTGAGTTAAATGAAATACAAAGATGTCTTGATAAGTACATGAAGAAAAATATTTATTACAGTTATTAACATTAGACGAGGTTAGTAAGGTTAATCTTTTTATAAAATGCACCATAGGCGTCTTATATTTGCCCTCTGAACACTGCGGTCAAACTGTCATTGTGCCAGTAACTCCAGTGCCATCTTAAGATGTGAAACACTTGACCATTTTTTCTGAAATGGAAAGCGCAGAGTTAAACAGGACATTTTATGCTTTGACTTATGGAAATTTAATAGAAGTAATGGCAGTTTAGAAGCAGTGGTACTACTGACAAACATTGCTGTGAATTAAGGTTTTGTGGTATTATTTATTGCTCTCTGCATAGTTAGGACATGGTCACTTAAGTGCATGTTTGTTTCTATGCACAGTTTTTATCCTTGTGCCTGATGTTTCATTTACATTCTCAGAATTTCCTGGCTAATTTGCACTATATCTTAATCTTTTTGTCAGGGTGGAGAATAGGAAGGGTCGATGATAAGATAAAGTATTGTTTGTGAAGACTGCGCCAAAAGCATCTGTGTGATCGATTCATGGAACCTTATATATGACTTATTCCACAGACTCACTTTTGGGGAAAAAATATAAATTAACTTTCTAACAAAATCGTAAGAAATGATAGCATGAATACTGAACTAGACCAACTAGTTTTAAAACAATTTTCCTCTAACCTAGTGAATTCTGATTGTTCTGGTAACCTTTACTAAATAACCTGGTGTGGTGGCTACGGCACAAAACAACGAAAAGTGAGGGTCCTGTGACGAGTCTCACAAGTTGGACCTGAACCTGGAATCTGATTAGAAGGGTTGTGTGATCAAAATGACCGGGATGCTCCAGCAGTCACCCTAAAACTAGATGGATAGACTTTTCCTTTGCTGTAGTTTTTAGATGATGTGGCCAGAATGAAAATGCACCTGCTATTTGGAGGCCCAAATGTGCTCACTTATCTTCAAACTGTCTTCATTTTTTCTCAGGTGGAGGAATTATTGCCGTGATTGTTATTGTTACACGTAAGTGTCCCAGTCTTTCGTAATACTTAAAATATTACTGTGAAGAAGTGCTTTATTTTCTTAACGGTTTTTCACTTTGTATAATTTTTATAGCTTGAAATTAAGTGAACCAGTCTAGAAACGTGAGCTTTTATGTGATATACTACCTTGTGTTGGTCACTGTATATTCTTTCATATTCTAGATGTCCACTTAGTAACAAACCCTAAATAACACGTTTTGTCAAGATAATCGGTCATACGAGTTTGCTTCCCAAATATGCTCTGGGTCACCTTCTCAGTTAAGCAGGGGCTCTTCTCCGACCTACTCTGGACGGTCTAAGTCATTCCAGGGGACTGGGCTGAGATCGTGCAGAGTCCAGATGGAACAGAAACATTCATGTGCTTGAATACAATAAGCTTTTCTGACCACTGAAATGTAACCAACATTTCTTTCTTCTGCTAGATTTTGAATCCTGGTGATTAGTTTTTACTCACATGTCACTTGTTTCCTGTAGTTGTTGGTGCTGGAATAGTTGCTGCCGGCCTGTTCAAATTTCTACACACCAGGAAGAAACGGTAAATTAAAGCATGCTGCTTCTAACTTACTGGTTCGTCTCATTCTTGACATGCTTTTGTGCAACTTTTGTTTGTACTCTGTATTGCATGCCATCTTTTTAAAAATGTGCCTGCGTGAGTGTGCCGGGTGAATTGCTTTTGCTGGCTAAAAATATTTTCAGCTGCTTTTAATATAATTATAACAAGAGTGACCTGTGCAGAGTTGCTTCCGCTATTATGTGTGTAAGAAAAATTTCTGTGGGATTTGAGGTTAAGCTTTACAGCGAAAACATGGACCATTATGGGGCCTTCCCTACCCTAGGTATCGCCTATTTCCTACACTGGAGTAGTGGCCGAGCTTAAATCTAAAATAACTCACTGTGGAGACTTGGAGAGTTGAATTCATGGGAATTTTCATGAGGAAAGTTCCATTTGATTGTGTAACGTAGGTTGTTGTAAGGAGCTCTGTAGTTGTCTTGTTCAAATACACAATTTCATTTCTTTCCACATAGAGTTGTTATTTATCCATGTGAAACGGGAATTAAAGCAACACTGTTTGATTTCCCTCTCATGTTCTCTTAATTTACTAGGTTGCAGTAAAACTGAAGGGGTTTATTAAAGTTAAAGTTGCTGAGAGGGGTAAGATTTACAAGGCACATTAACTTTGTCTTTTTATCTATAAAATTGAAAAGGGGGGAGGGGCTTAGAATAGAAAAATGTACAAATACAATTCTTGTAAGGAGAATAGGGTTTTTAAACAGCAAACTTAAATTTTAATGAGATAATTTACAATTTAATCAAAGACTTAGAATAAATCCTGGAGCACAGACCAAGATTAGGTGCTTCGGAATTTCAGATTTTTAGTGAAATTTTTTTCCTGTCCTTTTAGAAATAGCTTTGAAATCAAATTAAGATTGTTGAGACTTTGGTACTCATGGTTTTATGGTATATTTTCATTGATGTTAATCATTGGGTTTAGACTATGTAATAAAAGTACATTCCTCACTCATAAAGAGCTCAAACCTTTTATATTACCTGATTGTTTTTTTAAAATACCCATGATGCCTTCATTTAAATCTTATATTTGTGATATGTACATTTGATTTCTATATCAGTAGTATATTTTTAAAATTACATATGCACAGCAGTCTGACTAGGAAATACTATCAGTGAAATATTTTTACAAGTCCAAATGTTTGCATAGAAATGACTTCTCAAGAAAGTAAAACAAAATAGCTTTCTGCTCCTCACTTTCCTTCTTTGTTTAAAACATCACTGGGTTAAAATCCTTAAAGTTTCCTTAATAAGTATTAATCAGACTCTCTGGCTCCCAGTTAAAGGATCCTTGAAAGCTGAGCAATGATCTGAGCTCTGTAGCCCAGATTAAAGGCTCAGCAGCGTCCGTGAGCTGAGGTTCCGTTTCTAATGCGCTCCGAGTGCTGCTGCTGCTGGGCCTGGACGACACTTGAAGTGTCCTGGGTGTCAACTGTTACTGATGTGCCCACATTCTTGAAATTTGAAGAAACACTATCATGTTTATTGGCAAATTTTTCTCCTGTTTGAGGTCATTGGATTTTTTAAAGACTCTTCATCTATGTGTCTGTTTTTTAAAAAGATTATGGGGTAATACTTAGCTTTATTTTGCTTTTCTTTAAAAAAAAGTCCAGATTTTTACTATATTCTTTGCAGTATTTAATGTCTATAATCTTCTCCCTAAATTGGTTGCTGTTGCCTGAGAAACTCCTTTACAAGAGAACAGAATATGTGCAATTCCTTCTCTATTTCTGGGGTACCTCTGGAAGCAGGGTCCCAGGCACAGATAATCCCAAATTCTTGTTAACATTTGATACAAAATGGAGCTGATGTGAACTGTACTTATGATGATTTGGGAACACACTTACCCTGATACAGCCTTCATACCACAGTACCAAAATAGTATAAGTATTCATTTTTAAGATCATTCAACATATTTCAATTACTTGATGAAAAATGGCCACAAGATTAAAGTAGTCTGCCATAGTTTTCTGTTTCTTATTCTTCAGCTAAGAATGGAATAGGATCCCTGAAACGTGCCCATCTACATGCTCCTTCCTTTCCCTTCTTCCAGTGTCCTTTCTTATGTTTCTCCCACACTTTCCAGGCTTAGACTCCACAGCGCTTCCCCGTCCTTTGCTGTTTCTTGAGTCCTGTTCTGCATGTCATGACCACGTGATTCCGAAAACAGATGCCTTTAGTTTACATTAATGTTTTCACTTGTTCGTAGTTATTTTTTTCCCCATAAATGCATGATTTTCTTTACTCCAGTTAAATCATCCCTGGATAAGTGAGAGTTCGCTAAATTCTTTAGAATTATTTGCATAATTTATGTATTTTAATACCTGTGACTTAAATAGGTCTTATTTTTTCCGTTAACATTATTTATTATTTTTTATAACAAACTTATTTTTAATGTTATATTAATAATGACTAATTCAATAACTTTGTCATTTTTATGCTGTCTTCTTAAATGAATGTTACAAAAGTTTTCTGGATTTAATATATTTAGTGGCCAGTTCTGGTAGTGGCAAGTGTAATGATATGAGCAAAAAATGGAAGGATCAGATTAACTTGAACATTTTTCTACTTGACTCTCAGATTCTTGAGCATTCAACAAACTCTTCAAAAAATATGAAAGAAAATTAATAAATAAGAAATATTTTGTAATTACTTTGGATTGCACGTTTATCAAATTTGGATCCGTCCCAGAGAAATGGGAGGTCATATACTAAGTTTTACAGGGATCTTCTCAGGATGAAAACAAATGTGCCTGGGAAGAAACTGCACTCGCTGCAGAAGTCCAGCTGCAGCTGAGAATACATGACTTGTCATAAAAATGATGTCCAAGACAATATGACATGGATTAATATATGCTCCGTGTATTCCCTCAAAATAAGGACCCCTTCTCCTCACAGAGTCGGTTTTCTGTGAGAAAGAGTTTACATTATTCTCTTCAGGCTAAATGGTTTCAGAGGTGAACAGATTGCACAGAAATTGAGAATCTGTTCATCTGCTGGATGATCTGGAAGACTCCCAAGTTAACGTAGCTTCTTGTGCGAACTTCCTGTTTCAAGTTCCTACGTGAGAATCAGAGAACTCTTAATCTATGAACCTCATGATCGGGTTTACCTCCATTCTCCTCTGTCATTGATTTGACCCCACTTATTAGGCCACTCTTGCTGCCTTTGGGTTTGATGTCACTATTGTATTCAGCCCCTTTCCCTTCCTCTGTTCAGCACAAATCTGATTGGTGAGAGCCACAGAGAAGGAAAATTTATTTCTCTCTGAGAAGAGATGAGAGAGATTTGCTTTTATTGTTGAAAGGTATCTACTTCCTGTTCTGTTTCTTTTCAGAGATGTCCTTTCTTTTGAAAAATATTTAGTGAATATTTAGACAGCAAGCACCTGAGCTAAAATATGTTAGGAGGAAACATCAGAGGACACCTAGAGTCCCAGTGCCTTTGCTCAATTACTGTTTTCTTCTACCATTTCTGTTCCAAATGTAACATGAAGCGTCCTGACAGTTTTTGTGAGGCCTCCAGTAGATTAATGTCCCCTTGTCTCTTTATTGGACTGTCTAGCTTCCTCTACCTTCCAGCAGCTGTGAATCCAAAAGTGAGGAAATTTTTTAGCCCAATGGGAAATAATCACAGAATCTGTTCATTTTAAGTAGAGAGAGAAAAAATTTCCTTTTACAGAACCCAAAATACATTTTACTTAATTTTGTAAATGTATTCAATGTCAACTTGTAAATAACTCAGTAAAGGCATTTATCTGTTTCTCTTGACCTGAATATTTTTACCATATGAAAGAGAAACCAACAAAAAAATCCTCAGATTTTGATAATTATGAATTGCACTGCCCTAAACCCTTTGACCCCATCCGCCTTCTGTCTTCGAATGAAATGAATTGGAAATCTTCCTCTACTTGTGCCAAAATGCACGTCTACATAGCTGGGAAGAGAGCGAGATGTGTATCCCACCACTTACAATGTGAGGCGCTACCCAGGTTACAATCAAGAGTTTCACAGCAGATTCTACAAAGGCCAACAGGAAGGGCAGTTTCTTGGTAAAAGCCAAGTGGTGTCTTTGATCGCAGGAGCAAAGGGAAAGACAGAACATACCAACTAGAGTGGCAGTCTGGGCTCACCCAGCCCTGTGCGTCTGCCTGTGCTCTTTGCATTTCTTTCAGGCTAAAGCCAAACAGGAAAGTCGTTTTCACACTGTCGTGAGCTTCAAGGTGTCTGTAAAGATTTGAAGTTAGTTAAATGAACGCTGAAGTTAATATAAAATAACTGTAATTAGTAATTCAGTTTCAGATTTTTACCATCTTCAAGTAGCTTCATTTCATCAAATATTTCTTTAAGTTTATATTAATGCTTAATTATCTTTCTCATATATTGGGTTTCTGTTTTAAAGAAAAGGATTCCACTACTACAGAAAAAAAATATATTGACTTTGAAAACTAGAAAAATATGGTCTTGGAGAAATACTGATAGGCCTAATTATTACATCACTCACCACAGTATTCCTTAAAAATCACCATATTGCAAGAATAGTGCTGTGACAGTGGTGGTTCATAATGATGGCTCCCCCCAAAGAGAAACAAAGTACCCGAAAGTAACCTGGTTGGCTCTTACATTGGTAGGCATCCCTGAAGTGTCTGCTGTGGCAAGCATAACTGACTGGTCCAAATTTAGTTTTAGTCTCTTAGAGTCAATTTACTAAGGCAGGGACCAGAACCGCATTTTCCAGTGCAATAGTCAATAGCCACGTGGGGCTACTGAGGACTTCAAAAGTGGCCGGTTCCGAGGAAGGTGTGCTGGAGGTGCAAAATACACTCCAGATTTCAAAGACAGTATGAAAAAATGTAAAATGAACGGCAAAATGTTAATATTTTGGCCATCCTGGCCTAGGTGACATATGTTAAAATTAATTTTTCCTGTTTTTTTAAATACTTTTTAAAATGTGGCTTCTAGAAAATTTAAAATTACCTATGTGATTTGCATTATATTTCTCTGGGCAGCACTGGACCAGAATAATAGATTTTAGAAAGATATATTGTTACAATAAAAGTGTGATGGAAACTTCAGTTATTTAGGAAAATCTCTTACTGGAACACAGGATTTCCTTGACAGTCAGGGGTAAATGAGGCGTCACTGAACTTGAACACTGTGGGAATCATTACCTTTTTAAAAGTTTCATCTTAGAGTGGAACTTAAAATTGTGACATTAGGAAAACAGTCTTTCCCCATGGCCCTAAATTAAAACGAGGAAATAGTTACTATGTACTTCATATGTGACTGCTCTGTTTCTTGTTTTGGAGAGGATCAAAAATATAATACATGGCCAAAAGAAATGTTTCTAGAGTGAGATAAGTTGAACATTTGAAATTACTTTAAAAGAATTAATTTCCTAGTTCAGAAATTCTTGATACTATAAATACAGGTTTTTAAAATTCTGTTTTGTAAGTGGACTTCTGGAACTGAATTTCTGTACCTAATTGTGTTTGTGTGTGATGGTGTCTGTTTATCTTGCTTTGTAGGAAAGCAGAGGTTAGCGCTACATACAGCACTTACCAGAGTAAGTCAACCACGCGACCAGAGGAGAACTAAATGGTTTCCACAAACCAGTGCCTCAGTTTACATTTTGATTCTGTTAAAACGTTAAGGTCTACACTGAATTCCTATAGCCACTATGGAAAACAGTATGAAGGTTCCTCAAAAACTTAAAAACAGAACTACCATATGATCCAGCAATTCCACTTCTGGGTATTATCCAAAAGAAACTAAATCACTGTGTGGAAGAGGTACCTTCACCTCTCTGTTTATTGCAGCAGCATTTACAGTAACCAGACATAGAAAGAACTCGAGTGTCCATTGACGGATGAATGGATAAAGACAATGTGGTATGTGTGTGTCTCTGTGTGTGTGTGTGTGTGTGTGTGTGTGTATACAGTGTGTATATACACAGTGAAATATTCAGCCATAAAAAAGGAAGGAAGTCCTGCTATTTGTGACAAGATGGATGGATCCTGAGGGCATGATGTTAAGCGAAACAAGTCATATAGAGAGAGACAAATACTGTATGACCTCACTTATATGTGGAATCTTTAAAAACCAAACTCATAGGAAAAGAAATTAGATTTGTGGCTGCCAGAGGCAGTGGAAGGGTAGAGGGGGACTATGAATTGGGTGAAGATGATCAAAAGGTACAAACTTCCAGTTATAAACAAGCACTGGGATGTAATGTACAGTAGGGTGACTATAATTAGTAAGACTGTGTTGTATATTGGCAAGTTGCTAAAAGAGTAGATCTTAGAAGTTGTGATCACAAGGAAGCAAAAAAATTTTTGTAACTATGTGAGGTAATGGATGTTAACTAAATTTACTGTATTAGCCATTTTGTAAACTATACATTACCAACTCTTTATGCTGTACAGCTTAAACTCATAGAATATGTCAATTATATCAATAAAACTGGAAGAAAAGATTTACAAAAGTTATACCAATAAAACGGGAAGAAAAGATTTACAAAAGTTATTCTCTAGTTTCTCTCACTCTCACGAATGCAATTGTTAAGAAATAATGACAACATTTTAACATGACTTGAATGTAGTCACCATCCTTTGATGCTTCTTTGAAACATGTATGAATTTGGGTATGAACATCTTGCCTGTTTTCCCTTAAACAACATTTGCATTTATAGAGCAAGTCAAAACAATATCCCTGGTAGTATGAAGATGAGGAAATGATTTTCTTAATAAAATCTCCAAAGTTAGGAAAATATAGTTCAAAATGAAATTACATGTCAGTCATAAGGAAAGTGATTTTGAAATCTTTTTTGTTGAAAGATAAATGCCAACTCTTCAACAAGGCTAAAATGGATTTTATATATAGTTTATTGTAAAAAGTCTTTACAAATATGTGTATACTACTTCAGACCTTAAACATTAAAAATAACACTGAAAATTGGGATTTTGAACAAGTTTGACCTCCCTAAGAGTAGTTTCGGAAAATACTCTTAAAGTTCATAGAGTAAAATTCCACATTTTAAAAACTTATTTTAACCTCTTGGTAATTTAAAGAAACTATAAAGTTTATGGATGGCATTTGTCCTTCACTTTTTTTCATGTCAATAAACCAGTCTAGGGAATCAATAAGGATTTAGAATCAGTTGCTACTTCTGTAAAAAGTTAGGGAGCTCTAACACCCATAACAAGGATACCAGGTTCGTGGTACAGAGTGAGCGCTGCGGTCTTGTAGTTTTCTTAAAGAGAATTCCATCTTTAAGAGAATTAGAATCCGCTCTAAATTCTGGCTATAGGTGGTTTTCTGTCCCTCCTTGAATAAGGAGATGTCTTACTGTAATATGTCATCTAAAAGTAGGCAGTTTCATTGGGAATAAATTCATCAGATAACCTTCAGTTGTATCAGAATCTTGGTCTTTCTGTGCATCTCACCTCATCTGCCAAAAGTCAGAGTAAAAATGAAGCTGTTTATTTCAGGAAAGAAAACTTAATTGTGTATTTGCTGTCTGTTGTAGGAAGAGACTGAAAAAGGAAACAGCTGAGGCAGCACATTATACTCAGGTGAAGTAGATCCCGCCTCTTCTGAGCCCTCACTGGCAGCGTCTCTCAAGCAAGCCAGTGGGAAAAGAGGAGGGACGCCACGCTGATTCAGATTACATTTCTAAAGTTTGGTTTCACGCTGTTATATTTAGTAGCACAAATTGGGCCGAAGAAACATTGCCGAGAAGAATATGAGTTGGGGACTCAACAGTGGCCTGGAGTGAACATTGTTTCACTCCTAAAGTCATGTTAATAACGCACTGCACGTGTTCCTTCCCTTTGTCATCTCTGATGAGGCACTTCAGGAAGATAAGTTTGGGCAGAAGAAACAGGAATTCTGAATTCAATATAGAGCTGGAGGTTTACTGTGCCCATTTTCACATGCTCTTCAAGAATGTAGCACTTGCTTAGAAGCAAGGCATGGCTGTACTATTTACTTTTTTAAAGCCAAACTGAGGCGCTTTTCAACCAAAGATTAGATCAACCAAAAATAGACTTTTTATAATACTTTTGCTTCAAATTTACTGTTTTCAACTTGGTATATTTATATGTGAGATTGATATATTTGTGCAAATATAAATTATGTTGTTTGTCAAATTATCGATTACTTAAATATATAGGGAAACCAGTTTTCTCTAGAAAAGTTTGTTTAAATGACAGAGAAAGCAGCTTTTTGTACTGAAAAGTTCATTAAAACTGCAAGCAAGTATCTGAAGTGAAAAGTCCCATGTATAGTGATCTTTACTGTTCACTTTTTGAAAATTGGATCTTCAAATCTGGCATAAAATAAAATGTAGGTTTGGAGAAGTTTCATTTGTGATGGTGCGTTTATTTCCAGTGTGTTTTATCTGAAAGCAGAGTGTGCTTTTAATTGGGGCCCATCACCAAGCTTTCCACTCCCACTGTCATCCCTCCTGCCCCTCGCATCTCAGAGCCTTCAGTACGTCAGGGCTTCTCCGCTCCAGCCCCGCAGGTACCTCTCCTGCTCAGAGGTGTTCGGTGACGCCACATTACCCGCAGCAGGAAGTCCAGGTTAACCAGCCTGATACTTGATGGCTTTCTATAATCCAACCCCAGCTTTTCTTCCCAGGCCTTCTCTCTCTGCTCCACTTCTTCAAATAACCTGCTGTCAGTCAAGCCAGACCATCGGCCCAGTGCTCTCGGCCGTGTTCTTAGTTCACTGTTGCCTGAAGCGCCCAGGCTCCCATCCAGATCCTGGCCATCCTCCACGGCTCAGCTCAAATACTGCCCATTGTGGGAAGCTTTTCCTGATTTCTGCCCAGCTCTCATAGCCTGTTATTACCTGACCTTGAGTTAACCACATTTAAGTATCTATATGCTTGTATGTGGTAGAAAACATACCTTCCACATCACTTTAATGCATGGGTGTGACTAAATAATTAAAAATCCAAGTCCCAACAATAAAGTATAAAATTTGATTTCCAGACTAATAAAATTTTTGTTCATGCAAAAAAAGTAATTCCTGCTGTCTTTGCAGCCTTGAATTAAATCCAATAGCTAGACCTCTGAGACCAGGCCTCAGTTTCTGAAGCATGGCTGCAATTGGATCCCCTGAGGAGCTTCACTGCTGCCTGTGTCCGCCTCCCAGAGGTTTCTCATGTAACTGATGTGGGATGTGGCCTGGGTGTAAGGTGTCTTTAAGGTTTCCCAAGTGATTCTCATGTGCAGCTAAGACTGAGAACCTCTGCTTAGCCCCACAGCCCGTTTCTACATAAAAACTTATAAAGACAGATATAAGGGCTTATATTGACAAAAGAAAATTGTAGTTTTACTATTTCAGCCCATTCAAGAAATCGGAAGATGTCTAAGACTTGAATTAAGGTCTTGTTGCCTGGATAACCATACAAGGCTAACTGTCATTTAAAAAACAGAAGCAATCTTTCTAATATCAAGGCTGTATGAAAGGTTGAGTAAAAATACAGCAGATTATCAAATTTTATTTGGCCTTAACTTGAGACTATAGAATAGTTTTTAAATTGGCATAAAATATATAGGAAGAGCTTTTAAGGTGACTAACAATAAAAGAATGTTGAAGAGACCTGGGATAGGCCGGAATTGGAATTTGCATCGTTAAAGTAGATTCTAGGTTTAAGGAAAATAGGCAACTCTAAAACTTTAGCGATGCCTGACAGCATTGTAATCATGGAATTTTTTGCATATATAAAAAGTTTGCATATTTGTGCTCAAGAGCAGGATCTGATATAGTCTGCTGTCTTCCAGAAACAATGTGAAATTGAGTGATCACAGATTTTTTTTCCTAAGCTGCATTGGGTTCATCATTTCCAGTCTGATTCAGAAAATATTTCACCAAAATGGTCTTTATAAACATAGCTCTGCTGCCCTCCTGTGGACTATTTGGGCACTTCACAGTCCCTTCCTTAGTCATTCAGAAGTTTGTCATTGCTCTGATTCCCAGAGCCTTTTTTTTTTTTTTTTTCCTGAGGAAGATTAGCCCTGAGCTAACTACTGCCAGTCCTCCTTTTTGCTGAGGAAGCCTGGCACTGAGCTAACCCGTGCCCATCTTCCTCTGCTTTATATGTGGGGCGCCTACCACAGCATGGTGTGCCAAGCAGTGCCATGTCCGCACCCGGCATGCGAACCGGCAAACCCCGGGCCGCCGAGAAGTGGAACGTGCGAACTTAACCGCTGCGCCATCGGGCTGGCCCCCCAGAGCCATTTTTAATTTCATTTTAGATCTAGTAGTAACTAGCTCTTTTCTGCTTTCCTTCTGTGAAATTAGCATTTTAAAAACGGCAAAACTCTGTCTCTTATTGCTTAAATATGAGAGAAGTGTAACATCGGAGACTGTGGTCAACAAGCTATCTTTCCTTCAGCTATTCCTTCAGCTATTGTCCCTTTCATACGAGAAGGTGAACAAATTGCCACAGTATAGATAACATTGAGAGTTACCCACCCATATTCCTGACTTGCCAGCCCAAGAAAACCTGTATGGGGGTGGTAAAACTGATGTTAACAGGAGAAGCCACCTAGGTTTACAGAATTTACCTTGCTTATGCAGGTTTTAAAGAACTGAAGTGTTGTATGTCCCAGTGGAAAGCCTCGTGCTGAACTATCAGAAAGAGGAGCTCTGACAGCCTGGTGCTTAGGGCTTGGGGCTTCACTCAGAATTCTGGAGACCACTGTCATTTGGATGAGCACTTATTTATAATGTTGGAGAAAAGGATCAGTCACCTATAATCATCCACTGTGACCTAAAAAGGCTCCTAGAGAAAATACACCTTTAATTTGTATTTGACATGGGAGTCAATAATTAGAGAATTCCTTGGGATGGATCCCATAGTGTGCAAGTGAATCACATGGTGATCTTGTTAAAATGCAGGTTCTGATCCAGCAGGTCTCAGGTGGGGACCAAGGTTCTGCATTTCTAGTTCCACACCATGCTGGTGGTTGTTTGGCTGTCTAATATCCTCCAGAGAAATCTGAGTCCTGATACCTGGAACCTGTGAATGTTACCTTCTATGGCAGAAGATCTTTTACAGAAGAGATCTTAGATGGAGAGATGATCCTGGATTATTCAGGTGGGGCTCTAAAGCAATCACAAGTATCCTCCTAAGAGGCAGGCAGAGGGAGATCTGAGTACCGCAGAAGGCAATGTGACCACTAAAGCAAAAACACTATGCTGCTGATCTTGAGGACGGAGGAAGGGGCCACAAGCCAAAGACTGCAGCTCTGGAAGCTGGAAAAGGCGAGGAAACTGATTCTATCCTGTGACCTCTGGAGGGAGCCCCTATACCTTAATTTCAGCCCATTGGAACTGATTTTGGACTTCTGACCTCCAGAACTGTGTGTGTGTTGTTGTGAGATACTGTCATGGTGTGAATGTCTGTGTGCCCTCAAACTCCAATGTTGAAATCCTAACCCCCAAGACGATAGTAGTAGGGGGTAGGGCCGCTGGGAAGTGATTAGGTCTTGAGCACAGAGCCTTCATGATTGGGATCAGAGTCCTTATAAAAGAGACCCAAGAAAGTCCCTTCACCCCTCCTGCCATATGAAGTTACAGCTGGAAGGCACTGTCTGTGAACCAGAAAGCTGGTTCTCACAGACACCGAGTGCCAGCACCTTGACCTGGACTTCCCAGCCTCCAGAACTGGGAGAAATAGCAGTCGTTTATAAGCTGACCAGCCTGCAGTATTTGGTACAGCACCTGAAGAGACTCAGAGAGACTCCAAGTCTGTTGTATTTGGTACAGCGGCCACAGGAAGCTAATACACTGATGCCAGGGGTCCTCAGACCACACATTGAGCAGTAACGCCTTGTAGAAACAAATCCATAGAGGAGCGGCTCTCAACCCTGGCTGCACATTAGAATCACCTGGGGAGACTTTCGAACAAAAAAGGAATGTCCCGGCCCCATCCTAGAGCAGTTAAGCCAGAGCCTGTAGGGCTGGGATTCCTAAGAATGACTATTGGAAGGCTCCTTGGGAGAATCTAGTTGGAAGGTGGGGAGGACATGAGTGCAGTAGGACAAACCCCAAATATATCTTTTCTTGTGTCAAGGAAGACTCTACAGCTGCCCCAAAATAGGGACGCACTGGTCTGCCAGGAAGCCCCCTGAAACTCTACACCAGCTTCTCAAAATGCAGGCCTGGGCCAACATCTTCCCTGAAGAATTACCAGGTCCAGACACAACACATTCTGTTCCACCTAAATGGTCAAAGATGTGACTTGCCTCACGTTTATCAAGAACTCATCGGCCTTTCTGTCCACACACGGGAACTGTTTCCAGAACAACTCGCATGAGGCTTGAGGGTGGCTTCAGTCTGACACTCCCTCTCCACCCACGTTTACAGTCACATGTGTGGTCAACGGAGCTAAGCGGACGCACGCCTGACCATACGTTTTCTATCCAGATCGAAAGTATGGCCTTGAAAGCAGACTCAAGATGTCTCCAGAAGAAACATCCTGCTTACCATTTATTACGAAGAAGCTCCGGATGGCAACTGAGGGCAAGGGCTGTCAGCCTCCACGAATAAAGCACGTGCTCCTGCGTGAGAGGCAGTCAGTTACTCAGGGCCTGGGCTTTGCTTCTCGTGACCTAGACACGTGGACTGTTTAAAATTAAACACTCAGTGGGAGCACCAGATACTTTATGGAAAATATGTTTTAATTCATTGTTTTTGTGCTTTAATGCTAAACCCAATCTTCTAGCACTTACTCATTTGGGGACTGGAATCGGCTCTGCCTGCGGGCAGAATGCTTGTCTTACTTGTTGTGTTTGCAATACCCAGGCTGGAGCTTGGGACACGGCAGAAGCATCAATAATTGTTCAGCTGGTTACAACCCATAGGTCCTATCGTGGCTGACCTCAGCAGAGAAGAAGAAAAAACAATTTAGTCTTAACTATTCCCACCACCACATCCCGGGGACGAGAACATGGATTCTCCAGTCCACAGCCTGGAATAGCACTGCAGCCACAGAGATGGGGTACATCTCATTCACCGGGAAGTTTTCCCAGCAGATGCTTTACCCACCCCCCCTCCACTCCCCCCCGCCCCGACCCCACAGGGCAGGGCAGCATCTGGGGGGAGACTGGCAGGATGTGGACTTAGAAAAGCTTCCCCGGTGGTTGAGTTGCCACCACCTGTTGAGAACCGTGTGAGTGAAATAAAAGTACTGCAGGTAGTTCACAGCTGGCCATGCAGCTCCTGTGCCAAAAGCTCAGTCAAGGGCCACGGCCGTCCTCCCTGAAGATTCCCCAAGTTCAATCCCCTCTAACGTCAA